AGTTACTTACCCGACCTATCGCTTAGAACTTACTCGTCTAACGAGCTCTAACCCCCTTATACCGTAGGTGTATAACAAATAGCTCCTATAATAGAGTAGTTTTAGGACCCCTCTATCTAATAGGCGACTTATAAAACTATAGATAGTTTGCCTAACCTATCGGTATCTACTACTTCGTATAGTACTATTATTCGAAGTCCTTACTATATCTCTTTCGCTAGATATACCCTATCCCTTAAGCTTTAAATAGTTATATATCGATACTATCCGACTACGTAGACGTAGTATAGCTAGTATTCTACGCTAACTACGAATCTTCTTACGTTAGTTTAAATTTATCGTTATTACCCTCCTTATCCTAATTTATATAACTATAGTTATCGTCCTTCTTATTATAGTTCGTATAATTATACTTCTTATCTACTTCTAGTACCTAGTCGCGCCGTAGTCTTAGATTAAGTAAACTCTCGTCTATTTCGTATCCCTTAATTCCTAGTATTCGAAATATTAGCGGTTAAATCGGTATATTGTTATCGTACCTAGGTCCTTAGGTTAAAGGCGATATAGGATAAGAGGCTAAGGCGCTTATAGAAGGGCTCTAGTCTTTATCGGATACGTCGTCGTAGTACTATATACGTCGCGTCGGGGTCTCCTCTACGTCCGTATAGCCTCTCTAACTAGAAGACTAAGAATCCCCTCTCGTAGGTAAAGATAATACCCTCTCTTTTAAATATCCTCTAATACGGCGGATCGGAGTCTTTACTTAGTACTCTTTACTAAACTATCTAGTCGGAGGCGGTAATAATAATAGCGTACTAGAGTCCGACGGTATTATAGGAGGTATCGTAATTTCGTATAGTCGGTAGGTAGTCGGTAGGTAGTCGCCGCGTATTACGAAGCTTAATATCTTTACTAGTAATATAAGTAGGATATAACGCTTTCGATAGTACGGAGACTAGCGTTTCGAAGCGCTACTTAACCCGAATACTTAGGTTAGCTTATACCGCCCTATACTAAGAATTTAGGTTCTAAGGCCCTAAGGAAAACCGCCCTAAATTCGAAAGCCGGTTTTTTAACCTAAACCGCCCTAAACCGCCCTATAGAGGGGCCTAGAGGGTATAGTATTCGAAGAGGGTATAGCGTTTAAGGAGGGTATAGTACTAGTACTATTTATTTACTAGTACTTATAGTATATCCTTACTAGCTATAGGCGTTCGGAAGTACGTTCTTAAGCGAGTTAAAGGTCGGTACTTATAGTAAAGGTATAGCTACGTATAATACCGCTAGTAGCCGTATCTAGCGTATAATACCGCTAGTAGCCGTATTTAGCCGTATAAGAAGTAAATATTTTAAGTAAATAGGCGTAGCGCTAAGTAAATAGGCGTAGTACTAGGTAAATAGGCATAGCGCTAAGTAAATAGGCGTAGCGCTAAGTAAATAGACGTAGCGCTAAGTAAATAGGTATCGCGCTAAGTAAATAGGTATCGCGCTAAGTAAATAGGCGTAGCGCTAAGTAAATAGACGTCGTACGAGGTCTAGCGGTAGAGAGCCTACCCTATAGTTAATATCGTAGGTTAATATCGTAATCTAATTCTACCGTAGAGTAGCTAATAATACGATAGTAGATAGCGTAGAGGGTAGAGAGAAGGGAGAAGGGAGTAGAGGAGGTTATCGAGTAGTATAAGTATTACTAGACTTTATTATTACTACTTATATTACGGAATATAGAAGGTAGATAGTATATCGTAGCTTTAAGGGTATACTAAAGTTATATAATATAGAGGCTAGAGCTAGAGTATTAGGTACAAATACGTTAGAGAGAGTTATAGCGTATATACCCTAACGCTATATATACTATATATAGCTTATAGAGGGTAGGGAGGGCTAAGGTAAGTAGATTTAAAGGGTTAAGGTAAGTAGAGTTAAAGACTACTACCGTAGTAGTCTTCGGGAGTAGCCGAACTTCGCGGGGGCGGCTATACTTTACCCCGCGCTCCTATACGTATAGGCGTATATCTATACGCCCTCGCGCGTCCGACGACTACTAGCGTATACCTATACCCTAACCCTAGTACTACGAAATACTATCTAGACGTACTAGAAATAATACCGGATAGATAATTAAGTACTACGAGTAAGATATATCCTATTTTAGCGTATAGAACGGCGCCTATAGGTAGTTCTAGAAGTATAGATCCTACTAAATAGGGTCCTACTAAAATCTAGACTATATAGCTTCGCGCCTTACCGGATTTAGGGAGGATCCTATTAATATTTAGTTACCTCCTAGGCCTTATATTAGTTAGGAACTTACTCTCCTATTTGATAATTTCGTTCTTACGATTAGGGTATCGCTTCCTTATTAAGCTTATCGTATTAGTAATCTCGGATTACGTTTATTATATAGTATTACTATTAGCTAATTTCTTACTAACGTATATTCCTAACTAAATAACGTTAATAGCTTCCTAAATATATTCGGCGAATAGATTACGTCGTTCTATAACGTTAATCTCTATAGCGTTAACCTCCCTAAGATCCGCCCTATAGTTCTACTATAGTTATACCTTACGGCTATAGTAGTCTTATACGTAATATCCTTTCTTTCTATATAAATAGTACTTTAGTCCTTACTTCTTACTTTAGGCGTAGTTCTTACCCTTAGCTCCTACTTTATTAGGTTTACCTCCTCTAAACTTACGTTAAGTAGCGTCGAGTTCTATAGCGTTAGGGTTATAACGTTACTATCCTCTAGTCTAGCCGTAGGGAGTATAGCTAGTTCGTCCGCGGTCCTAATTAGTATTACGTTTTTCTATATATCGTTTATAGAGTATATCGTCTACCTTAATTATAGCCTCCTATAAGTATTCTAAGGTGTCTTAGCGTCCTCCGTATCTTATAAGCTCGTCCTTAACGTTATCCTTAAGTCCTTAATAGTATATAGAGCTTAACGTATTACCGTCCTATCTAGTATAAGTAGAAACCTCCTTAAACTTAGCGGTATACTAGGATATAGAGGCCTTCTACGTAACGTATTAAATATTCTAGATAGCGACTTACTAGTTATTACTAAGTCTATAGATCCTCTTAACTTATTTAGCGAACTCCGAGAAGTCGGTAAAGATCCCGTCTAGGTCTCTATTCTTAAGTAGGACTATAGTTAACTTAGGACGTATCTAGCTTTAAGCTTCGCCTCGAAGGTAGGATACTATAATATAGTAGCGTTATTATTCGCTTATAATACCTTTAAGGGAGAAATATAGTATAATCTAGTTTAACTAGTTATTAAGCTTATTACGATCTCTATAGAAGAAGTCTAGTTTAGCGGAATACTTTATCCTATCCTTATTAGTAGAGGTATTAGCTTAAGTAGTCGAAGCTATACTAACGTCTCTTTTATTATTAGGAGCTATTTATTACTTAGAGTACTTATCTACTATAAGAGTATTTAAAATATTATATACCTATAGTATAAGAGGTTAGAGCTCGTTAGATAAGTAAGTTCTAAGCGATAGGTTAGGTAAGTAACTACTTAAAGGGTTTAACCTTTTAGCGGGTTAGTAACTTAGGTTAAATATAAACTACCTATATAGGAAACGTCTCTTCTATATATATAGGAGATTTATATAATAATCGCGATTACCTAGCGGTAATCGTAAGTACTCTTCCTTATAGTTACTTAGAAGTAAGGGTAAGTAGCTTACTTACTTAAAGGTTTAGGTAAGCGGCGTTATATAATCCTTTTATAGCCGCCCCTATAGACGTAGATTTATTAGTTCCCTAAGCTTAATCGGCTAATCTACTTATTATAGACCTAATATTTATAATAATAATACTTCTATATATATAGGTAATTATATTTATATACTCTTATATATTTAATAACTAGTTCTCTATAATTATATAAGATTATAATTATAATATAATCTTATCTAGCTAACGATAGAGTATATTAATAAATAATAATAATAAGTAAAATATCTTTTTAATAAGTATATTAGACTATAGAAATATTAAAAGATCTACTATCTCTTAAATAAATAATCTACTAATTAATGTACTTTAACTCTAATTTCTATATACGTTCTAATTACTTTACTTATATAATATATTTATAGATTATTTATAGAATTATAGTTAGGTGATTTATATTTAATCTAAGTTTCTAATCTATAAAGGGTTTCTAATATCTCTAATCTAATTACTACCTATAGACCTACCTAATTGACGAGCTCTAACTCTAGTATACCGTAGGTATATAACAAACTTCTACCAAACGCTGAAGAAGCGGGATCGCCGAGTGCGTGTCTTGCGGGCGCACCGGAAGCGCTATCGTTCCCCTTGCGCTAACGCATTAGCTACAGTTGATCAGAACCAGGTTCTAGACAGCAAGCCTCCGATCTGCTCTGCTCGACCATTTGAAACCGCCGTGGAGGCCATTGCGAATAGAACCTTCTTAGTCGCAACACACTCAACATGATCTACTCAAAGCTTTCGACTCGCCTCTTCTCGCACGGCGTGACGGTCGTCGGTCCTCCTCTAAGCCATACCACGCGGCGAAGAGCGACCAATACTTTCAGCATTGGCGGTGCATCTTGGTCCTCATCGTACCTCTCTTACAGCTTCGTGCGTCCTTTGCGGCACCTCTCTTGGTGTCGGGTCAAAGCAGCTGGAGATACGCGCAATGCAACGACCCAGCGCCCGGCAGACGTCGGCGCAGCAATCGTCGTCGGAGCTATTTTCTCAGGTGTCATAATACTAGCGACGTCGCAGTCGGCATTTGCGGACGCGCCCAGCCCAGATGAGAAGTTGATTCGCCTCCACGAGATCCACGATCACAATCGGAGGGCCGACGCGTTCTGGGTCTACCGTGGCAATCGTGTCTACGATATCACCGACTGGGTTCCGAACCATCCTGGCGGCGAGGTAATTTTACGTGCAGTGGGTGGCAGCATCGAGCCATACTGGAATATTTTCACCATTCACCAGAAACAAGACGTGTATGATATTCTCGAACAATACTTTATTGGCACCATTGATCCACGTGATTTGGTGGATGGCCAGGCACCCGCCGATCAAGTCGACGACCCATTCAAGTCTGACCCTCTCCGAGATAAGGAGCTCATTGTACACAGCACCCGTCCATTCAACGCCGAAACAGCTGCGACCGATCTACAAACCTTCATTACCCCGACGAGCCGCTTTTACAAAAGACACCACCTCTGGGTGCCCCAAGTCGACGAAGAGACCTTCACGCTCACAGTGGAGCTTCCAGATGGCGAGGAAAAGGTGTACTCTGTAGCAGATTTGCGCAAAAGGTTCAAGGAGCACACGATCACCGCGACCATGCAATGTTCCGGTAATCGTCGCTCGCACATGACTGAGGGCTCCAGCCCAACTAACGGGATCCAATGGGGAGTTGGCGCAATCAGCAACGCATCGTGGACAGGAGTGAGAATGCTTGACGTTCTTGAGGATGCAGGTTTCAATGTTACGACTCTGCCTGAAGACGTCAACCATGTGCACTTCCTCGGTGCTGAGGCTTACGGCGCGTCAGTGCCACTTCAGAAAGTCATGGATCGCTTTGGCGATGTAATGATCGTCTACGCAATGAACGGCAAGCCTTTGTCGAGAGATCATGGCTATCCTCTGAGGGCGTTAGTGCCTGGCACTGTCGCCGCACGTAGTGTTAAGTGGCTGAATAGAATCATCCTATCGGAAGAAGAGTCCTCATCACAATGGCAACAGCGCGACTACAAGTGTTTCGGACCTAACGAAGGCAGCAAGCCTGACTGGGAGAGCGCTGTAGCAATTCAAGAAACTCCTGTGCAGTCTGCTATCACTGACGTACAGAAGGTGACCACGAATCGCTTGAAAGACAGCTCTTTGGCCCGCGTCTACGGTCTTGAGGAGGAATCTATTATCTTGCGTGGCTACGCCTTCTCTGGTGCTGGTCGCTCTATTGTGCGAGTAGATATTAGTCCAGATAATGGGAAGACCTGGCAGCAAGCGCAGATCGAAGACGCCAAGGAACAGGGCCAACGTTCCTGGAGTTGGCGCCTGTGGAGCCTGGCAGTTCCGACGCGTCTCCTTTCCGGCAACGTCTGTGTCAAAGCTACCGACGATGGATACAACACACAACCCGAGAGCTTTACGCCATATTATAACTTCCGCGGCAACTTAGCTAATAGCTGGCATAGAGTGCCGACATCAGAAGTTCTCAGCGCCGCTGCAGTTCCCAAATGATGACTAATGGACAGTGTATTGGTGGATCTAGCTGATGAGCGTGGCAACTATGCTTTTTATATGTACGACGACTCGGGGGTTTTTGGGAAAACATCTTGCGTGGCAGTCGCTCAGGTGGACTGGCGTTGGCTAGGATGCCAGTTGGCCAGGTCCACTCACTTCTTGCTTGATAGCACCATATAGCGCGGGATCAAAGCTTCAGAGGGTTGTTACAGGCTTCTGATCGACCTGTCCTTACGCTCAATGTAAGATAGGCGTTTACCTACAAGCAATGGACCGTTAACTTCGAGACATGGGCTGACTCTCTGGACATGAGTTGGCTTCTGGCTAAAAAACTGATACTATACCGCCATCCAGAAACATGTACCAATCTCGCCCAATTGATTCGTCAAGACTACTCGAAGGAAGCATCAGCGAAGCAAGACTAAAGTGTGATACATGCTGCATAGGCATCTGAGCCTGCCACCAAAGGATCCAGACTGCTGATCCTTGTTCTACGCCTATATATGTGCCAGCATACAGAACTCAGTGCGTCAATTAACGGAATTTGATGAAGTTCATTATATAGTCCCTCTACAGCCCCCCAGAAACGCCAGCGGAAAACAAGTGTGTGGAAGCCTCAAGACCGATGCGTTTGCCTACAGCTGATCGTTTTCAAGAAGCTGCTTTGTCTATTCCCAATTCTAACCTTGCCGTTCCTCGAGTGTGTGATGCACATACACTTGAGCATCCTCGTCAATATTTTGGACTGGCGGCGGAGAGGCAACCTCACTAAGGTTGGCGAAAGGATCTTGATCTACTTTGGCCGATGGGTGGGGGTGGTGTTCGCCGTTGTGCTTGGTCGAGCCTGTCGCTGATTTCCCGAAGCGTAGCTTCTGTTTGAAGCTCGACCATCTACCTGCGAATGACATGTCGGGGCCAGCGCAGGCAGTTGTTTGATTCGCAGCCCAACTTGGGTCGAGTCTCGGCGATGCGATGTGCTGGGCAGTCCTCGCTCTTCGTTTTCGTTTCTGTTTATGCTTCCGAGGATGCGGGCACGCTGATATAGTTCTACCCTCCTAATAAAACATGGCTGCACTGCCGACGGTAGCTGCGCAGGATTGCGGTAGGCCCGGAAGCGCTAATGCGGCTGGGGCGCGGGACGGTCGGCGACTGTCTGCCAGGACGCTGTATAGTACGACCGGCCCTTGCGGACTTATCCGATCTTCACCGATGTGTGGGTGCAATGACGAAAGTCGAGGTCCGTTGTGGGACCAGCTAGAATTACGCAACATGTCGCCACGCAGCGCATTGGCCGGAGCAGATATGAAAGCCGGAAGTAAAGAATTATCACCATGGCGGATGGTATCATATAGTTCGTTCTTCTCGAGCTACAGAGGTCGTCGCTGGCTAATCTTCAGCAATCATTATGTCGGTCCTATCAATTCACGCATCGCAACGTCTTGACTCCAGAGGCAAGCCTACTGTGCAGGTAGACTTGACCACTGTACATGGATCTTTTCGCGCCATCGTACCGTCCGGGGCTTCCAAAGGAGACTACGAAGCCGTCGAGCTCCGTGATGGTGACTACGAAGCCTTCCAGGGTAATGGAGTGCTGAAGGCATGCCAAAATGTCGACAGCGTTCTTGGTCCACAAATTGCGAAAAGCGGATTGGATCCCGCGTACGACTTGAAGAAAATCGACGAGCTTATGATTCAACTCGATGGGACCAAGGATAAGAGCAAGCTTGGCGCGAATGCGATCTTGGGAATTAGCATGGCAGCTGCGAGGGCTGGAGCGGCGGCGAGAGGTCTTGAGCTGTACGAGTTCCTCGCAGGCGAGAGTGGCTTGCCTCAAGCCGACTATGTGATGCCCGTACCCTTCATGAACGTCCTCAATGGAGGAGACCACAGCGGGAACGCAATGGCATTCCAGGAATTCATGATCGCTCCAGTCGGCGCTTCGTCCATAACCCAGGCTGTGCAGTGGAACTCCGAGACCTATGCAGCACTCAAGACCATCATAGAAGCAAAGTATGGCAAAGCAGCGGTCGGTCTTGGTGACGAAGGCGGCTTTGCGCCTCCAATCGATCGTCCTGAGGACGCGTTGAGTCTACTTGTCGAGGCCATCGCGAAAGCCGGTCATCAAGACAAAATCAAGATTGGCATCGATCCAGCCTCTCAGTCCTTCTTCAAGAACGGGAATTACAACCTCGGGTTCAAGACCGATCAAGATAACAATCTGAGTGCTGCAAATCTTGCGTCATATTACCGTCAATTGCTCCACAGCTATCCCGTCATTCTGCTCGAGGATCCCTTCGGCCAAGACGATTGGGACGCCTTTGTCGACTTCAATAAGGACTGTGGCGTAGAGCTCGTCGGAGATGATCTTCTGGCCACCAATATCGACCGCGTCAAGACTGCAGTCAAGAAGGAGGCTTGTAATAGCATGTTGTTGAAGGTCAACCAGATAGGTACGGTGACAGAGGCTATAGCTGCGTAAGTGCCAATCGTTCTGCAATCACGAATCTGCGAGACTGATCAGATCACACAGAGGGAAAGCAGCCTATGCGGCGGGCTGGTCTGTGTTTGTGTCGCATCGTTCAGGCGAGACAACAGATGATTTCATAGCCGACCTGACCGTTGGGATAAGGGCGGGGCACCTAAAGTCAGGTGCTCCTGCCCGAGGGGAGCGAGTCGCAAAATATAATCGATTGATGGACATTGAGGACAACTTGAGGTACCGTGAAAGGAACTTTTCTTACGCGGGCGAGAACTTTCGTTTCGCGTACACTTGATTTTCCGCTCCAATAGCACAAATATGAGCCCCCACTTCTCAAGCGAGAAGTAGCTCACGTTCGACTAGAGCAGAAGAATACCATAAGCGGTATTGGAGTCCACAGACATGTTGTTGCTTTTCATGGCGCATGCGACACTCGTCTCTGCCGCCCTTGCTATCAAACGCGAAGCCCCAGCAATATAAGCCGGGCAGGTAGCCAGATACCCTTACAAAGTACAGACTCAGCGACGATCTAATAGGAAGATCTCTTTGCATTGGTAAGACCAGACACCTCGGCCTCCCATCGATACTGGCGTCAAAATGGAGCTGGGCTACGGGTACGGTACTCATTTTGTTCAAGGTTAAAGGCTAGGTGGTCGGCGACAGGTACCCCAGCTGAGCACTTTCGCTCGTAGATGTTACAAGCCTGGGACGCAAGTCTGGCAACATCTCGTAAGCTCCGGCCCGACGTCTTGCATCTCTCCTTGGTCTTGGACCAGAGACAGCGTGGTTACAGAGCTTTCGAACGCTCAATTCCATCAGCGAGCCGCTGAAGACCAGGAAGATGGAAAGGTATTGCAGTATATCTTCGAGAGGTATCAAAGCGTCGGTCGGAGAGAATGCGACATGGTTCGGGCTACGTCTTTGGACAGAGCAAGCGTAGAATTCTCATCATAGACGTGAGCGGATGCTGGAAAGGCCGATTGGCTGTCGAAAGGAGAGATAGTGGGAGATCTTATGAGCGGACCAAATGCTTCAACTCTTCCGAGAAGGGTCCGGCGCCAGATTTAGGCTCGGACGGCCTGGACAAAGCGAAGAGCGCAGGCCGTCAGGACAGTATCTATCACATCAAGAATGGCAGTCATATTAAAGATGCCACCTTATCCAGCTTAGATTGATAGTTACAGCCCGATCGACTCAGGGCAGAAGCTCTTCTTTGATGGCACCGACCTCACTGAAGAACATTCTGTACTCTCCTATTTACGTTTCTATTGTGGTCTGACATCTTACACCTTACAAGTCGCAGCATGAAAACCCTGCGTCCAGCTTAACGAGCCCATAATCGCGGTAATGAATCCCACACCAACGGCGAGAGTGCAAGCGCCGTAGAAGTAAGCATGTTTCAGACGCAGTGTATCTAGCTCAAGCACCCAGGTGCTGACAGTTGTCAATGCGCCACAGAATCCGTCAATGATCCCCTGAAAGACCTGGCAGCTGACGACAGCAGTTCCTGCAGAGGACCTTTGTAGGTCGTATGCCATGCCCAAGATGCAAGTTCCAGCAATATTCGCTGTAAACGTTCCGAGTGGGAAAGCACGGACGAGTCTGTTCATGTGGACAGATAGTAGAAATCGTAGCAAGCAACCAATTGGTGCGAAGACGATAGCAAACAAAGCCTGCCCCCGCCAATTGTCATGAACCGGCCAAATCGCTAGGAAGATCGCACCTAGCCAGCATCCAGGCCCGAGTACAATCACCAAGGCATCCATAATGCGGCTGATGTTCAAGACAGGCAACTTCTCCGCTGTACGCACGAGGCCAGTGGCTAAGTGAGCGCCACAATTAAGCGCTACGATACTCAAGCCAACTTCGAGGATCAAGACAGCTAGGACTGCCATAACACTATCGCCGCTCGGCCTTGAGCGTCGCAATCCTGTGGTGGCCGTCGTAGAGGCGGCCGAGGTGTCGAGATTGTTCGAGATGGCCAGAAACGCATCTCGACAGATGGAAGCAAAAGAGGTAAAAGACCCGCAGAAGCCCACCGTCAAGCCGACATAAGCTGGGATGGACGCTTTGGTGGATGCGAACGAGGCCGTGGCGGCGTCGAATATCTCCTTGGATCTCGGGTCTTCGTCTTCGTCATCGTCACGGGAGGAATTCCGCGTGTTGCGGCGGGCTTTGTCCAACTCCTCTGTCCAGTGCCGACGAAACAACATTCGATCTTCGCGAAGTATACCCATAAGCAGGCTACCTCCAAAGTTCGCCCAAAGGTCCGTGTTGGCAATGAGCGCACCAGGGTATAGGGTCAACGCCTGGAGTCCTATGCGAGCAAGCACACCAAGTATAGAAAAGAAGATGAGGTACGAGATGATGTACAGCTGCGTGAGCCATTTCGAGGTCGCGTTGGATTGGCCCCGAGAGTCTTGAGCTTGTTGAGTTTTTAGGGAAGAGGGACGCCCGCGAATTGTTTCCAGGTTCTCGTGCTGATAAACGCCCTGCTCGTCTGGATTCTCGTCTGGCGCTGGTGCCTCAAGTTCGTCCAAGCCAATCTCCTCTTCAGCAAGAGCATCATCGCCGTTGACCATGCTGCTGACACTGTTCTCATCACACGCACACGTGTCACTTTACCAGGATGACTGTGCGCGATCAAATTACGCAGGTACACATGGGAGTGGAGATGGTGAACGAGCTGAGGTGTATTGTTGTCTATTTGTCAAGATTCGCGCTGTACTGCTGTGAGGCTATACAAGAATGAGGGGTCCACCGAAATTGGCTAAGTGGCGATCCATCTCGTCTAAGCGCTTCCGCAGTCTCCGCAGTCTCCGCGAACTCAGGCGTCATCATAAATGAGAAGGTCCCCATGTCATCCCAACGCTATCAGCTTGTGCCCTACAACGTGCTCCCCATGGAGTCGAGATCTGTATTGCCGAAGCACCAATCAAGGTTGCTGCTTTCACTGTACTGGTTGTCAAGGAAGTGCTCAAGACTGGCATCCCAGTCCACCATCTCCAAGAAAGGTGCCAGTTGCTTGAACTGGGACGCTGGACTTTCCGGGGGCGCAGCGAATGGAATGTATTGAGGATCAGCCGTTGGTAATGTATGCGGCTGTGTAGTTATGATATCGCCAATAGGGTCTGCGCCTGTAGCAACGCTTGCACTGCTGTCACTGTGCTGTTGTATTGTTGTCAAGAACCTTTGAAACGGGTCGTCGAGGGAGACTGCATTGTTAGTTTCTATGGGCGGATTTCCGTCCATCCATACGTTCTCTGCGTGCTGGTCAGGCAGCAAGTCTTTGCGAAACCTCCGCTTCTTCGATGACAGTGGCTTGTCCACCGCAGGTGAGCTCATAGATCCTGCCACTAGGTCCTCGGGCGCGAACTTTTGCAGTATTTCTGCCAATTTATCGGGCGACAGTTCTGATCCCGCAGGAGCATGCTCTCCCACGACGAACCCGCGCGACTCTGCGGCTTGTATGACGTGGGCCATGTTGGAGATCGCGCAGATTAAGCCTCTTTGTTGTTCCTGCAAAACTGCTACATGTCCCTCAGTCACAGGCCCTGAAGCTTTCGAGAGGTGGCGAGAGGTAGTGCAAACCAGTTGTTTCGAGCGGCATCGTCCACACGGCGCATGACCATCGCACTGTGGAGCATAGTCAGCCCATTATTGTACGCTGGTGGTCGTCAATAGCGCTGGATCCGACTTGCTTTGGTTTTCCGGATCCGGCACGCATCGCAGGCGTTTTGTGTACGTGATGACGTTTGTTCCGCGAAAGCAGTTGGCGGAGGAGAGGCTTTGGCCGCAGCGGCATGCTTGGACATGAGCACAAACATGGCGACGGAGCAGGCAGCAGAGGCAAATCACCGGGGGATGGATGAGCTGCGTGAAGACTCACGACTGGATCCCGTCGTATAGTACCGATTCTATCAGGCAATATCCTCCAGTGGGTGCGTCGAGACGTGCTCACGATAAGGACCAGCAGCGGAGCAGCACGGTACCTGTGGCTTCGAGAAATTTTCAGAGAAAATCACTAATGCGGTGCGATTGAATGCCAGTGACATTTCGAGATGTTCCTTTCCAGTCTTTCTCGAATCTGCGGGTACGCCCTTCTTTTGCCACCGCGAAGCCGATGGCCGACTTCGATCCGTCCCCACCAAGTGCCAGCAGGGTAAAATGTTTGTGAAGCTTTCACGAACTCATGGCACAATCGAGAACAACAATTCTTCAGCAACTCCACCCTAGTTCCTCGTCGTTCCAGAAACTCCATGTACACAACCAGTTTGCGTTGAATAGAGCCCGCATGGATGCCGTGGTAGGACCGCCATTGTCCATTGCCCCGGCTGGAGACAGATACTCTGACAATCTCGAATCAGCCCTAGGCGTGAGACCTTTGCGCTTTAGAGGTGACCATAGTACTTACATTGACACACGCGAGCTTCGTCAGGGCCATCTTCGCCAGGGCCATCTTTGTAACGTTATCCAGAATGCCCCGTGCGAGATAATCACGACTTCACGTTCTGGCCTCGCCCTTGACCATCATCGAAGCGTGGTAACACGTGCTCTCAACGTCAGGCTGTCCGTTCTGTATGCGCCTCTGCTACCCATCCACTTGTCTGTATTCACATGCGCATCAATGAGATCGTCACCCTTGCCAATCAAGGCCGATGCTGGGCTTCCCGTAACCCAAGGAGGGACTTGTCTCGCCTTGGGTTACGGGAAGCCCTCACCAATTCTGCAAAGGAAACGATAATGTTCGACAACCCGACGATTCGGAATCTTGGCTCAACGTGGTCTCTAAAGAGAACAGATGGCTCCCAAGATCATGTATACAGTATCGGTCACGACGATAAGCAGCCTTAATTGCAAAGCACGGAATACATTGTCATTCCTCAAGGGCAGCTTTTGCACCAACGTCCGTCGGAGCCATGTCAGCCAGACACAAACAAGAACAACGCCTCTGCGTTACATCATCTTCCACTGGCGCAAAATTCTAGGAAAGCGAGGGAAGATTCGATTTTGACATTCACTAAGCTGACTTATCGCCGATTGTATATCTGCGCGATGATGGAACTGAACGCCGGCCATGCCATGTATTAGTAGTGAACTAGGAAGCAGGATGTCGGCACCTACATAGTGCAGTATGATATGGGCGGAGAGAGCGGGTGCACTTACTAGGACTTATATAAAGGAAGATCGCGGATGCGCTACTGTACTGTAAGCCCGCTTGAAAACACATCTTTCTGGTCTCCGGGCGAGACTCCATTTCGCTCCACTGCAACAGTGGCTGCGAATGACGCATTCTACTCTTGACTATCTCAGCCGACTACGGTTTTGCGATGTGTGTCAATATATTATCTAAGGCCTTGACACATTTGCTCAAACAGTTCCCCAAGATTCGTCCAGATCCCTCTCACAAGTCCTTCGGTAGACGCTTCGCTTCTTAGCTGGGCCCGACACTCCCTGAATTCCTGCACAATTCGTGAAGAAGCCATAAAGTAGCCATACAGACTGACAAGCATCACTCACGGAAGGACATGTCGTTTTGCCATCCTCTCACAGTTCTACAAGCAGAGCGCGTCCGGGCCGCTGCCAACAATAGCATCAGGAGAGAGACGCGGCAGAGAGACTTCAGGCTGCCACGATTAGTCGGCCATGTTGCCATACTGGAGGCACTCGATGTTTCAAGCCTTCCGCCCGGTCAAAAGGAAGCTGTTTTGGACACTCTCTCGACTCCCCACTCAAATGTGTGCCTCGATAGCAAGTGTTTGGCACCAGATTCAGACGTTACTCCGGATTTACAAGAGGATACGGAGAGAGAGGACGATTCGGACGATGACGAATGGTCGGCTGACGATGATGCATTAGCCGATGACGAGGATTATGCGGAGCACAGGCTGATAAATGTCGACTCGCATTTATCGACGAGCATACAAGAAATTCAGCATATCAAGCTGACAACTGAGAGATCAAGCGCTCTTGGCCCATTCGGAGTGGCCGAAGTGGTACGTGAAAGGAAGGACACTGTCTGGAATGAGCTTCAGGTGACGGAGAGTGTAGAGGAAGTCACGATCGTTGAAGATTGGTAGAGCAATGGTGTCGTCTTTCCATGTCCGATTAGACTAAGCAATCAAACTGCGGAGCCACTGCTGTCGTCTCTCACCATGCGAACGAAAGCGACCATAGTATACTGTCCTTGACTTCGATCCATGCAGTTACAATAAATGACGAACCACGGGTTAAAGGGAAGCGCATAATGATGATGGCTGAAGACTCAGGTCTAATGTGACCAGCATGTTGACCAGCATGTTGACCAGCATGTTAACTAGTGTCTCCAATTCCTGATGTAGCACTCTTTCTAAGACCAGCAATCCCTGCTAACGGTGGCACCGAGAGGCTGCGAGTCAGGTGATGATCAATACGTGCGAAACAAATACTGGTCCCGAACGCTTACCATCCTGGTATCATCTAACCACTGGCTGGTGGGATGGACAGATTGGCATACCGCGTCCATGCCGCTTGCTGAATGCTGCAATCGACAGAATCAGCCTCTCCTTGGACCAGAGTGCTCTCTGTACGATAGCACGGCCTGTTGCCGACGAGCCACAACAGTCTCTTAGTTCCTCTAGAAGCATGCATGGCGCGACCTTTGCCCGTTGCCCGGACGTCTTCCGTCCTTCTGTGATTAAAGATCTTGTCTACTCCGTCGCGCTCTTGGGCCCGTCCATCTTAACGACCGTCGAAATATTTAGCGGCTTACGAACCCGAGGGGATGGAGGCTACGGCATAGTCTTTCGACCCACACACAAGTCCATAAAACTACAGAGGTGTGGAAAGAAGGACACTGTGGCTCGAGTCATGCTCATCGCATAGCTCAGACAAGGCCTAGGATTGCAGCTTCTGCGGGGCCATCGCAGATGCCATTGCTGTTTTTATTCGGTGCCGAAGATTAAAACGAAGGACGATCGCGTATGCCGAGAGTCACAGCCGCTTGTTACTCACCAAAGTCTTACACAGTCCACTCGCCTTTGATATTGCGCATCTAAATACTTGAGCTTAAGCTTCATGGTATAAAGCTTCCACGATTGCCTGTCCCATGGCCAATACCTTTTCCTCTTCCAGCCGTCTGCTCAGGACTTGGAGACCTACTGGCATGTTCTGCGCGTCGTGGGCGCGGTCTACAGAGTCTCGTTTGTCAGTCAGGGAGAAGAGATCTCCAGTCGTGTGTACTTACACCTGTTTTGCACTTTTGCGTCCTCTTCATTCAATGCCGGACGACTGAAAACTTCTTCAACTGCAATGTCTTTTAGCGAGTATCCAGAACAGACCGGAAACACTGCAGCCGAAACATCTAGGACGTTAGCTATAGCAGAGTAGGCGTAGTAGTGGTCATCGTTCTGGCGTCCTGCCATATAGGGGGCCACCGGTTGAATGATGCCGTCTACTCGGCGGCCAGAAGCTGTCTGACTGTCCATCTAGGAGCGAGCGTCAGAAGATCGGGGAGACTCTGAAGTAACACAGGAGATAGCTCCTCTCTCTTCAGATACGCACCTGTCGCCAATACCTTATATACTCGCTTCGGTATCGATCCCGGGCCTCGCACAGCTGCCAGAAGGATGATGTCGGAATATCATCGCCGCTCCGCTGCTCATACCACGCCCGCATTTGAGCCACAGGCGGCTCACCACTTGCGTCAATTGCACGCCTGATCTCCTGCGCGCCCGTCGAGCCAAACATCTTAAACTTGTTATTGTTAGCATGTGCACCTATCGAAAGATGACTAGCCACGACTGACAAGTGTCTCGACCCCTTGATTCTGCGGAGGAGGTTTCCACGGGATGATCTATGATATCATGAGCGCGTAGGACCAAGGGCGATAGAAGAGACTCGCCTCGTATCCGCGGCTCAATAGTGCCTGTTTAACCTTTTGCAGGGCAAGTCGTATTGGCGGATGTGGATGGACATAATTATCGGATTCTAGCACTCCAAACACAAGTCTGCCATTCCCTTCTGTTCCTGACGGGTTACACGTTCGTGCGAGAATGCTATCATACATTTCCTGGCGCCAAGGTAACTCCAGAGATAGATCATCGAACGTCCAGTGACTTGAGTCTTGCAACGCTTTGAAAACGATTGTAATACCTTCAAGGTCATATGAGAGCATCCCAATCGAGCCAGCAGCAGTGGGGAGACCTGGGAACTTCGCGAAGACATTCAGCGACTGCCCGTGCGCAAGATCGACAAAGAGAGACTCACAATGGGGGAAATCCCACCTTGAGGAAGCCTTTGCTCGGAAGCCTTGAGAGCGTAAATCCCATTGAAACTTGCTGGAATGCGAGTGGAACCAGCTACCACAGCTGCTTAGCGTGAACGTCTTTCCCTTGCCAGTCCAAGCTTACCGATGTCTGTCCCGAAGCCCATTGCAGATCCACGTAAAGCTATGAGCGCGCCTTCGCCTAGCAAATGGTGTAAGAAGGTATGCGCATCATTCCCCAAGCTTCTCAGTCCGACAACTCACCACCACAAGCACCTCCGGCCGACAACATCCTGTTGTATGGGTTCAAAGTGAAGCCCATGATGTTGTTGTCAGTCTCGCCCATCTCACAGCGGAGTGACGTTAGCATGTTGATGGCTCGCAGTAGATATCGTGACAGCTTACCATGGAGCTCATCGGCACACTTGTCTTGCACAGAATGACAGCACCGAGGCTTCGTAGACGCTTCACCAATACACCCTCGTCATCAGCACCCACGGGCTTCCCTATCCCGCTGACGTAGCCACAAGTGCTGTCTAAGCCGGCTATGTTGAAGCGATCCATCAAGCTGACTGGCAGTCCATGAAGAGGTCCAATTGGCTTTTGATGAACACGCCAATACTCATCAAGCATGGCCGCATGCTTCCTGGCGTCTTGATACTGGTACTCGCTCAGGCAATGGGTCTAGATGCAAATGAGTTGTCATTCGAAATGTATATGCGATTCGGAGCCGTACTAGCTGATGAGCAAGGGAGGCACGATGCGCGAATGCGGCCTGGATGAGGTTAGCGAGAGTGCTGTAGGGACTCTGGCGGGTTAAATATGGGATACGAAAAGCAGAGGATGAGAATGAGACAATTATGGCTGCATGGCTGTATGGCTGGACAGACGGGAGGTTAAGAAGGCGTTTTGGGGAAGGGGGGGTGGTTTCTAGGCACACATACCAAGACCTCGAATGCCGTGACATCCCCTTTCCGTAGTCTCTGCAATAGCTGCGCAACAGGCTGTTCCGTAATCTCACGAGCACTGGTAGAAATGCGCTCAGCTACAACGTCCACCACGTTTCGCTGCTTGGTACGTCCACCAACTTCTTCGGGTGAGAGCCTCCATTCTTGAGGGATGGATGACAGCAGGGCCTCCCTCTTGCCATGAGCCGTCTGCTTCCACGACATGACAAGGTTCCGACGAACAGTAGTAGTGCTGTGTTGAGATGCATGGGTTAGGGTTGGAGAAGAAATGGAACAGATGCGCCGTGGTACCGTCGCCACCGAGCATACAGTACGACGTACGATGCACGCGAGTCATGCCAGCCGAACCACAATAATAATCACTGGGTGGTGAAGATGGAAGGTGTGCCTCAGACAACTTTTCACGTGCAATGATAATGCTGGAGTGTTGGAGTATTGGAGTAAGTGATTCCGTGGCAATACAGTAATGGAGGAGCGACAGACCAAGCGGCGGCGCATAGACGTCTCGAACGGCGGGCAAGTCTCGTCACAACGGCACGACACCGCCCACCATGTCCCTTACCAAGAGTTCGACACGGCACCAGACGGCGGAGTGGAAAGCCGAGACATCGACCGGGACTGGTACAACACGGCCGAGGATGGCGCCAATGCACTGGGTGAAGACTATCACAACCCTTTTGGCAACTACGAAGCGCAAGAGGAAAGTGCGCTGCAGGAGAGGAAGGTGCTGGTGCGGCAACGAGTGAACCCCAAATACTTGCAGCGGCAAAAGGACAACGATGCGTGGGAAGCCAACCGCATGCTGGCGAGTTCGGTGGCGCAGACCAGAGATCAGGCCCATGACTTGTTGGACGACGATGACGAGACGCGCATACATTTGCTGGTGCATGATCTGAAGCCGCCTTTTCTGGATGGCAAGACGGTCTTTACCAAGCAGCTGGATCCGATCAGTGCTGTGCGTGATCCTCAGAGCGACATGGCCGTCTTCTCACGCAAGGGAAGCAAAGTGGTGCAGGAGCGGCGGCAGCGGAAAGAACGACAGAAGCAGGCGCAGGAGGCTACAGGACTCGCAGGCACGGCGCTGGGGAATATTGTGGGTGCCAAGGAGGAAGACACGGATGCTGCTGTGGGACCTGGACAGGCGAACGGGCAGCATACCAAGTCGAGCAAGTTTGCGGATAGCCTAAAGAAGCATACTGGACAGTCGGACTTCTCCCGGACGAAGAGTTCACGTGAGCAACGAGAGTATCTGCCAGCTTTCGCGGTGCGAGAAGAGCTACTTCGAGTTGTGCGAGACAACCAAGTCACGATCGTGGTAGGACAGACGGGCTCCGGAAAGACGACACAACTCACCCAATTCTTACTCGAGGATGGATATGCTCAGCACGGCATGATTGGCTGCACCCAACCACGTCGTGTGGCTGCCATGAGCGTGGCGAAACGTGTGTCTGAGGAAATGGAAGTGAGGCTGGGAAGTACTGTGGGCTATGCTATCCGCTTCGAGGACTGCACGAGCAAGGAGACGTCTATCAAGTACATGACTGATGGTGTACTCCTCCGAGAGTGCCTGACAAACCCGGACCTGGATCAGTACAGCTGTATCATCATGGACGAAGCACACGAGCGAGCTCTCAACACTGACGTCCTCATGGGCCTGATCAAGAAAGTCCTCTCGCGCCGCCGCGACCTAAAACTCATCGTCACCTCCGCCACCATGAACGCAGAGCGCTTCAGTCGCTTCTACGGCGGTGCACCGGAATTCTTCATCCCGGGCCGGACTTTTCCCGTCGACATACAGTACTCGAGATCACCCTGCGAAGATTATGTCGACAGCGCTGTGCGCCAAGTCCTCGCCATCCACGTCAGCCAGAGCGATGGCGATATACTAGTCTTCATGACTGGACAGGAAGACATCGAAGCTACCTGCGAGCTCATCGCAGAGCGTCTAGCTCAACTAAACGACCCACCAGAACTCTCTATCCTGCCCATCTACTCACAGATGCCAGCGGATCTGCAAGCCAAGATCTTCGACCGTGCTGCGCCTGGTGTGCGTAAAGTTATTGTGGCGACCAACATCGCCGAGACAAGTCTCACGGTTGATGGTATCATGTATGTGGTTGATTGCGGCTATTCGAAGCTCAAGGTCTACAACCCACGCATGGGAATGGACACTCTACAGATCACGCCCATCTCGCAAGCCAATGCCTCGCAGAGAGCAGGACGGGCCGGTCGTACTGGTCCAGGAAAAGCATTCCACCTCTACACCGAGCGAGCGTTCCGAGATGAACTATACATTGCCCAGATTCCAGAGATTCAGCGCACAAACCTAGCCAACACCGTCCTCCTCCTCAAATCCTTAGGCGTGCGGAATCTGCTCGACTTCGACTTCATGGACCCACCCCCTCAGGACACAATCACAACTTCCCTCTTCGACCTGTGGGCACTAGGCGCATTGACAAATCTAGGCGAGCTTACAGATCTCGGCCGTAAAATGACATCCTTCCCCATGGATCCCTCCCTGGCAAAACTCGTCATCACTTCCAGCTCCATCTACAGCTGCTCGGAAGAAATGCTCACGATAGTGAGTATGCTCTCCGTCCCTTCCGTCTTCTACAGGCCAAAGGAAAGGCTTGAAGAGTCCGACGCGGCGAGGGAGAAGTTCTTCGTCCATGACAGTGATCATTTGACGCTCTTGACAGTGTATCAACAATGGGTAGCCAACGGCATGAAAGATGGGTGGTGTACGAGGCATTTCCTGCATCCGAAGGCGCTGCACCGCGCACGCGAGATTAGGCAGCAGATTGAGGACATCATGAAGTCCCTTTCCATGCCTCTCATCTCCTGCGGCTACGACCTTGATATAGTCCGCCAATGCATCTGCTCCGGCTTTTACCATCAATCCGCTCGCCGAAAGGGTCTAGGCGAATATATCAACCTCCGGACCTCGGTCTCAGTCCAACTCCACCCCACGAGCGCTTTGTTCAACTCTGGAGATCCACCGGACTTTGTCGTCTACCACGAACTCATTCTCACATCAAAAGAGTACATGAGTTGCGTCACGGCTGTGGACGCACATTGGTTGGCTGATCTGGGAGGGGTGTTTTACTCGGTCAAGGAGAAGGGGTTTGGGGCACAGGGCAGACGGGAAATCGAGTACTCGAAGAAGCAGGAGCTCGAGCGAGGTTTTAAAGAGGATCGGATGGTGCAAAAGAGGCTTGACGAGGAAGCGGATGATGGAGGGCCGAAAATTGTGGGCATGAAGGTGGGCGCAGCTCCTATCAAGAAGGTGGCTATCAGCAAGAGCAGTGCGGTAGTAAAGCCGGTGATCAAGAAGCGTCGCTGATGCCGTCCAGCATCGTGAACCTAACACGAGCATTGTGATATCCATATCTACTTCAGTATAGGCACAGTCCGAAAGCGCGGTTCCCTCGTTCTGACCGAGTACATACTCGCAATTTGAGGCATTCCAGTCGGGTCAGCTGGGAAGGCGTTCCTTTCGGGTAATCCAGCTTCGATGCACCAGAGATCATTTGGATAGTAGAACACCTATGATCCGATCCTTACCTTTGATTTTGCGACTGCAGACACAAAAAGTCTAATGGGAATGTGGATCCATACCCTCGAGATATCATCACCAATAGCACATGTCATGCAAGGTCCAGAAAGTTACTCCTAGTCCCAATGAGGCAGCCAAGACGCAAGCGCCCGGCGTCAGGCGTGCTTGGTTAAGCAAAAGCATCAGTATGAGCCTCGTGGATCGACGCATTGAATCTGGCTGTCTGTTGGCCAGAGCATGACGCAGACATTGAATCCCGTCATGTCGCCGGTAGAAGTTTCGAGTTCCTGCTTGATTTTCAGGCTGTGCATAAAACATCATGAGCCTCTCACCAGCTTCGAGCGGATCAAGCACGACTCCGTAATTGCATGATGCCACAATCGTTGTCGCCTCTACCAAATGCACGACCCCTTACCATGGAACCCATGATATCATTATCGACGCAGGGAAAACTTCGTAGGAGTAGCCTATGACCAGTTTCAGCATCCGGGAATGGTGCCGCGCAAGACCAGAATGATGCCCACGGGCATACGACCGAAGAATCACTGGACGCACGCATCCAACGACTGGGCCGCGAACGTCCGGGTGTGTTCCCGACAGCCTGGAGCGAGGTTGCATTTGTCTTCAGCATAATCATGTCTCAGCTGCTGACAGAGTACTTCGTCTCGGGCTTCACGCTGCTCCTTCCAACGGTCATCAGGGAGCTAGATATTCCACAAGGGTCGACTGTCTAGCCGATGACTGCATTCTCTCTGGTCATTGCCAGCACACTGATGGTGTTTGGTCGTCTAGGCGATATGTTCGGAGGCTACCCAGTATTCATCGGCGGACTGGCCTGGCTTCTGATCTGGAGCATTATCACTGGCTTCAGCACTAGTTCAATTATGCTCAACGTGTGTCGAGCCCTGCAAGGACTAGGAGCCGCTGCGGCTCTCCCGACCGGTATCCAGATCATGGGCTCGACTTATCGCCCCAGCCAACGCAAGAACCTTGTGTTCGCCGTTTATGGTACGTCTGCTGTGGTAGGCTTCTATGGTGGCATGTTCTTTGCGGGACTCATTGGCCAATACACGAGATGGGGATACTACTTCTGGGTTGGTGCTATCATGATCGGGATCACGCTCGCATCCTCACTCTATGCCATTCAACCAGACCAAGCGCAGAAGGTGGAAGGGAGACCGCAAATGGATTATCTCGGCGCAATCACTGTCGTGATAGGACTGGTGCTTTTAGTATTCAGCATCACGCAATCCGCACATGCAACGGCGGGTCGGCGGACGCCGTACATCATTGTCTGCTTCATTCTAGCAGTCATCTCGCTCTCTGCGGCTGTGTACGTTGAGGCGCGTGTGGCCTCTCACCCGTTGCTGCCGGCTTCGATCTTCCACACACGGTCGATGACTCCGTTACTCTTCGCCCTCCTTCTGCTGTTCGGCTCATGGGGCATCTTCTCTGTCTATGGTACATTGTACTTCTAGAACATCATGTCCGCAAGTCCACTTCAGGTTGTTGCTTGGTACGTTCCCCTTGGTGTGGCTGGACTTTTACTTAGCATTCTGGAGGGCTTCATCCTGCATCTTGTCCCTGCTCGACTACTGCTCGGCATTTCCGGTCTTGGAGCGCTGGGATCGCAGCTTCTCCTCGCATTTATACCTGGCGCCAATGCAAATTACTGGGCCCGGGTCTTTCCTGCCACAATCCTCAGTACCATCGGCATTGATCTATCCGTAATCCTGATGACCGTCTTCATCACCACAACATTTCCTTCCGCACAACAAGGGCTCGCGGGCGGGGTCCTCAACTCCGTGCTCCAGCTTGGCGTTGCGCTTACACTCGGCCTGACGGATATTGTTCAGTCAGCAACGGTCGACCAGGTAGGCTTGGCCAGGAGTTACAAGGACACTTTCTGGTTCGGTGTCGGTGTCAGTGGTATAGGTCTCATATTGATGCTGGTCTGGGGTAAAATACCGAAGGCGACTAGTGAGCTGACTCCAGAAGAAAGGGCTGAGCTTGTACAAGTGGCAGAAGACGAGCTTCAGGATGATGTGGTCCAGTCAGATGCACAAGCCAGTCGCATAGATCGTATCGATTAGCCGTGGCAGTACACATAATTTCGAAGTTCACAAGATCAACCAGTCGTTGCCATCTTCACCCATGGAATCAAGCCAGTCATTATGAGTATACACAATGGCAGGATACCCTGCTACCGTCTCATAAACATCCTCGCTCCGCTTCTGCCAAATCTTTTCCAACAAGCTGGCGGCGTTGCCGATCACCCCCCATGGCTCAAGGGCTTGTATATGATCGAACCTCCCCCGGATCCATACGTGCTTCGCGCTGTCGTTCGTCTCCGCGCCTGCGATGAAAGAAGGCCATGTTGTCGCCGCGAAGAGCGAACTCTCAGTGCTAATGTTCGATAGATGAGCAATGACCTCGGTGACCAGATCTTCCAGTGGGCTAATCATCTCGCATAGTAGACCAAGATGGAGACAAACGCGACAGAGGTAGATGCAAACAGCTCCACGGTGAGCAGAAGCAATGTCGAGCCGATCTTGGAAATCAGCCGCGGGTAAGCGTGATTGCACTTCGGTCGCCCATTGCCACGTATCGAAACCATTTGCAATCCGTAACAAGCTAGATGCCTCATCTTGCTGCACAGACATTGCAGCGCTGCTAGGGTCGAGTCTCACCACCCTCTGTCGTACCAACGCGCCTCTGTGAAGAACGTGTAGGAGTTCTGCTGGGAGTGAAGAGCAGTGATTTCCCTCTGCGTCTTTAAGAAGCGATAACCACTGCTGCTCGTGTATATTGCTATCCGCTATTGTAGCAGATGTTGATGAGGAAAGTGTTGTGCCAATAATGTCGAAACTACCGTGTGGTCAGAAAACATGCAGAGCTATCAAACAATGAATGGCAAACTGTACATGATACAGTTGGCTATGATGCAGCGGGAGAATTGGCTCAGGCTAACCTTGGAGAGCTCACCCGTAGCAAACATGCGCATAATCACGGCACGAAAACCTCGAATGTGACGGCTCCAATGATCCTGGCGAAACTCAATAAGATTCAACTCGATGAATAGTAGTAACGAGGCCAGAGTCTCCTCCGTGTGCGCAGTAGGCCTGGAGTCGAGGAGGGTTCTGAGCAAGCTCAACGCACGCTGCTTTGCGATGAGACCGGCATGATGCTGTGTGGACCGGTGATGCGAACGCAACGCTGCATTTTGGCTATCATAATAGCCCCCAGTCTCAGAACACTCGTGCACAAAGGACTGGTTAGCCATATGCATTGCCGCGCTAGCAGTAAGCAGTTGTAGGGGGAGTGGACTTCTGGTGGCCAGAGGGAAAATATCTTGTAATGGGTTATACTTGAAGTCGTCGTAGAGCACAAGGTCTTTGCTCACGTTTGTCGCGACTGCATTCGATATTACGAGTTAGCCCAGCGTTCTTCCGGAGATGCCATGTAAAGTGGAAAGGTAGCGCACAGTAAGACAAGTACCGCCTTGACGCATCGTCAAGTTCGAGTGTGCTCAGGATACGAGATGAATAGCCCAGGTCGACGAAGCCGTAGGTTGGGCGACTTTGGCCAGTCGTTCTGCCACGGCTCGCCTTCCCGGCTTCCCAGCGAAGAAGCCGTCCGTATCCAAGGCAATGCTGGCCTCGAGTGATGCATTATTGGCAGTGAGGAAACGCTCGGTCGCATTTGCGTCGTTGCCTTCGACATGTATGGCATGCAGTGTCGACGACTTGAATTGATGCCATAGGCTATGGAAGAGATTGCGCGCACGAGACTCGAGTATGGTGCAAAAGCGAAGCGCCTTAGCATTCACTTCGGGCGGAAAACTTCCGCTATCTCTTTCTGGTCGTCTCCTGCGCCAGACGTACCCCGTCCATTACCTGCATAACGCTTGTCTGCTTATGTGCCAATCGTCAGCATTTCGCTTACCCTCTCCTTACCAGCACGTTTCGATTCCACTGCTGGTCTCTTGTTATATGCCGTAGACTGCCTGAGGATGCAGCGAAGCATTGTTCTCGGCTAGGATTTGCTGTACGAAGTGGTCAAGCTGGGAGGTAACAGGGAAATTGGGTCGAATTGTACTGGATTTTGCCTTGCTATAGGGTTTGGAGTGAGATATCAATTCAGCTGAAGCTCAGTAAACGAGCGGTGGCTGGCTGAGGATATCAGACAACCCGAACATATATATGTCATGGTAGAGCATCTTCACAATGATGGCTACGGGTCTAGGTAACATCTCTGTCTCGCACCTCCAGACCTCGTCAACCTACATCCGAAGTGCGCAGAAAGCATCAAAATGGCCGACGCTTCATACGACAACATGACACGGACGACGCACAGGATGATCGACAGCTACAATCAATGGGACATCGACGCCATGATTGCCAACCGCACAGCAGACTGCGTCACCGAGATTCTGCCAAAATCCATGGGCAGAGAGCCGATGAACAATACGGAATATCGAATGTACTTCGCTAGCGTCATGTCCATGTTTCAGGGCTTCACTGTATGTTCCCAATCAATTACTTCCCTGACACCGTGCTGAAATTTATTTCGCTTAGGTCATTATCGAGAGCGAGCTGTATGATGTCCAGACCAAACGGGCAGCGCTGCATCTCCGATCTGTTGCACAGACGCCTGTCGGACGATACAGTAACGAGTATGCCTTTTTCTTGACATTTGACCACGACTGCAATAAGATCAGTCGATTCGAGGAGATGGTCGATAGCAAGTATACCGTGGGGCACTTGATCGGGCTGAGAAGCCATCTTCGGAAGCACCGTGGTAACATGGAGGTGGCGTGGGCGAACACCCTGTGTCGAGCGAGATTATGAAAATCGTAGTGTATAGGCGGCTTGCTAGACTAGATCGGGGTTGCTTGACGTGCGTTTGGGCTCGTGAGACTGTGACCGAAGCTTGCCATGGCCTGGGAGGAGATCTTAGCACTCGACGATCATGTTGAGATTCACCAGGATTCAGGTGAGGTAAGATCAAATACCAATCTATAGAGCAAAAGGCGTGCAGGATCTACCGCTGTTGATGATACAGACTATCCTGCGATACACCGGTCCCGCCAGAGATGCCGTCCTGAGCGTCCCAATATCATCATCCAGCTTCGCGAGGACGTAAGTCCGTCATGAAAGCTATCAATCTAGAAATGTGGCGTGTTGAGCGCAATCAAGCACAGCAGTCCGGCGATCAAGGCGGAGCATGGCAAAGTCAACACCCATCCACCAAAGATCCAGGCTAGCTGCCTCCAGTTCACAGCGCCGAGATCAAGATTCATGAGAGCGACGCCAAGGACTGCACCAGTAAGACACTGCGTAGTGGACACTGGTAGGCCGAGCTCGGAGGCGAGTAGTACTGTTGTAGCAGCACCAAGCTCAATAGCAAAGCCACGAGTTGGGCTCATCTGCGTGATCTTGTTGCCCAGAGACCGTACGATGTGGTAGCCGTAGAACCAGAAGCCAATGCCGAGTAAAGCACCAGCGATGACCAGGAACCATACTGGCGTGGGAGACTCGGTGGCCACAACACCTTGTTGATAGGTGTGGTATGTCGCGACCCATGGCCCGACAGCATTCGCCACATCATTACTTCCGTGAGCAATAGACATCATGATGGCCGAGAGGACTTGACAGTATGTCCACATGTGCTCGACCCGGACATCGTAGCGATTCGCTTTGGCGTGTATGGCTCGCAAGAGGTCCGAGTCGTGGGTAATGACGTCCATGGTAATCTGGTGGACTGTTAGTATCGAGCTTTGTCTGACTGAATGAGGTTTGTTGTTGTACTTACACCGCGCAAAGTGATGAACTTAAACCAGCCCCACCACTTCGCCAGGCTGAACCAGGAGTGGTGCTGGACAGGACCGACGAAGCGTTCGTAGGGAGGAATGTAATGCTTAGCTTCTCTCTTGGCCGCTGCGATTCTCTCTGCCTCCGACAATGTTTTCTCCTCATCATTCAACGGGCTGTCTCTGTCTGAGCCGTGTATCCGGTCATAAGGTTGTGTCTCTCCCGATGAAGCCTCCGTCAACGCACCAGCAGCCACTGCATTCTTGTGATCGTTGTTGCCAGCTGTGACATTGCCATATGCGTCCGCATAGTAGTTCTTGACAAACTCATCACCCTTTCCGGGAAAGTAGAGTGGTGGGTTATCTCGCAACAGCAGTGGGCCTAGAGGTAAATGCCAGATACGAATACGCGGGTCTTCCTTGATCAGCTTGCGGTTCAGGAAAGGTATGAAAAACATGTACGTGAGGGCCAATACTCCGAAAAAGATACCAAGAATCAGGCCAGCCAGTTCTCCAGCGGAGAAGTCCTCGAAGCCATCCGTAGACTCAACAGCTAGAAATGCCGCCAGGATAAGACAGGTTCCAGCAATGTAGACAGGCAGAAGGTGAAAGGCCCACTTCAAGCTATTCTTGCGTTCGAGAATGCCATACTTCAGGGTCGCAAAGATGATGGCAGCAAAGCCTGCAGCAATGCCGGGCGCGATAGCCCATGATGCCGCAATTTGGCTGACGCTACCAGATGTCCATCGCCAAGTGATGTCAGCCTGCGTCGCAAACCCCACGCCAATCAGCGAACCGACAATGGTCTGCGTGGTCGAGACAGGCATGCCGCGACTCGTAGCAGTCATGAGCCAGGCGGCATTCGCAGCCTCAGCACAACTCATAGCGAGCATAAGGGCACCGGGGCTCCCATCAAAGCGTCGAATATCGATGATGCCGTTCTTGATAGTATCGGTAACTGGGGCGCCAAGGGCCACCGCTCCAAAGAACTCTGTGCAGAAAGCCAGGACACCGACGACTGGCATTGTGAGGGTCTGCGCAGCGACTGAGGTGGCGTACGAGTTCGCGACATCATTGGCGCCATTTCCGAAGGCGGAGAATACGAACGCAATGCTGCAGAGAGCAAGGATCCAGTCATATCGAGCGGTGGCGGCTGAAGGCATGATTGTAGATGTGAAGGAGATGTGCGCTGCGTTGTATGCTTGAGAGACTCAAAGAAGTGGCACTACGGCTCTCGATGCTGGGAAACATGAATTGACGAACGGCCACGGCCCATAATATAGTTCTACCAGGTCAAAATCGTGGGGACAATATGCACTTGGCAGGCCTGAGCATCTTTTAGGAATGTAATGCTTGTCGCCATGTCATCCAAGAAGACTCGTGGCAGAATCATGCAACGTGCTGATCTCTGTCGTTGTTCCGTGGCCTATGGCACATCCGCGGCGTCCCTTCAATTTTCAACATGATGGATGCTGAGCTTGCCCAGCAGAGGGCAAGATAATGGCCAAGGTGCTGCGGTCATGTCTATCATCCTGCCTCAGTGCCGTTCTTCGCGACATCTTCGAGATCGTCTTGCTCTGTAGTCACCCGCCTCCCTGGTCTTCGTATGCACGTCATTCGAGGCCTGACACAGACAGGTATATTTGATGGCAATTGCGTGGTTGATGCTGATATGGTCGGAGCCTCAGATGGCCGCGGGTAGATGGTCTTAGGTGGGCGCAGCGTGATATGATTGAGGCAGGCAGACCACGTTCTTATATCTGCGAATCTCATTGGCACTCTGTTGCAGCGAGCCAAGAACCTGGTTACGAGTGCCACAGGCCGTCCAAGAGGCTTGGGAAGAGTTGGGCTTGGCCATGCTAATGTCACAGCCTTCGTGCTCGATCACTCGGGTCGAAGCTGGTGAGAAACAACGCCGTATGTGTTCGTCGGTCTCTGGAGTTCCTAATCATCAAGCTGCGAGAGTGCATGCGAGGATCACGAAGGGCTATTGGTAGTTTGTCACAATACAGACGCCCATACTTTGATGGCATGGGACAGAAACCATCCTTTGCGTGGACTACGTAAGCCGAGAATCCACCGAACGACAACCCTTGGATAAGGACGCCAGTCTTCGCACATAACCAGCAATCATTGTCTTGGATGCAGAATACTACATCTAAGCTCAGGATACTGATATTCCTCTCCGCCTGCCTTTCGTCTCGTGATGATGCGCTTAACAAATCACTATCACTCCGACTGGCCCTCGAGACGAGCCCCCTAATAAGTCTCCTCCCTTCCCAGCAACTACCCGACGATGACTTTTCCGATGCTCACAGTCGAGTTTGCGGACGGTCAGAATGGACGGCTCTTCAGCGTCAATCATTGATCTGCCGAGTGAGGTTCGCACCGCAATCCTCGCCCTCCTAGACGATGTTGTTGACCTCCAGAATGTGTTGCTGGCATCGTCACACATCCGGCGGCACCTGGCGCATGACAGACAGACCCTCTCGATCGTAGACCAGTTGTTAAAAAATGGCTGCACGCATCCACAAGTCGTCTTCTCCATCTACGCAGCCGCACATCTCCGCAACAGAACACCGTAGCTGGAAACGTACATCAAAACATATGGGCTCAACTTCCTGCAGCCAGGATTTGGGGATCCGAAATATGCTCTGACGAACAATCCGATTCTTGATCGATTGCCTCATGACATGAAGTCTGTACAGGTCCGTAGCCTACTGACGATCTCCAGCGCCATTCACGCCACGACCCTGCGCTGCATCGCTTTGTATGCCGCTCGTTTCCAGCGGATGCAACCATTGACTCTAGCTGAGCCATATCTCTCTCATAGATACGCCGATATACTCACCGATCTTCCTGCCGATCTCGGATATACTCTCCCAAATGTTGGCCGATCGACGTGGGGCGAAGTGCAGCGTATGCTGAAAGCTTTCTGGATGATTCACTTTGCGCGGATGTTCTTCAAAGACGTGAACCCAGGCGCATTCGCATGGCCCAAGACTCCACCTCCAGGACTGCGGACGATGAAGCCCGTTGACCTATTCGGCTTCAGGAGGCACGGGTCTGGCGTTGCCATTGAAGCCAGGCGACCACGAGACTACCTCTTTGATGCTCTTCATCTCTAGCTGACCGCAGAAGAATTCCTCGCGGACGGTGAGGTAGTACCGCAAACGCCATCGACCCCGGACTCATCCCCTACCCAGCGGATCGAAGGTGATCTCGAGGTGTGGCCGGTGACCACGGAGACCATGGACTACTTTGTTCGGATCTTCCAAGAGGTTCGTTCCCAGAGGGATGGCGATGGTTTCTATCCCTGGAGACGACTCGGCTTCGCCATCTGGGACGAGAAAATTCTGCGTGCTGCGGGTCTGATCGATGAAATTGCCAGTAATCATAAGCTGAGACATATAAGTGAGCCTGGCCTCAGAACTGAAGTGGCCGAACGCCGAGCACTGCAACCCGTACGTTGGTTAAGCGGGATCAGGGGAAAACATTTCCTGCTTGTGCAGAATCATCGGCCCACGGTGCATGATAGTGACCAAGCGGATGACCCCGACTATGGATACCCTGAGCACACGGACGAGTCTTGGTCACCGTGATTTCTCGTTGAGTATCACACAGTGAGGTTGTTTTTGCCAGCTACTACGGCAAGAACTTGATACCGGATCATACCGTTGCATGGAGGTCAATGAGCCCAGGTACAATGTGGTATGTGGTCAAGTACTTCATAGATGATAGTCCCTGGTACGGACTTCTAGCGGGGCATTGAAAACAGCAAAGGCAATCTGCCGTGGTACGGTCTCATCGTCGTGAAACCTCCCATGAAAGATGTGAAAGATCCATGATGGTAGGTAGCTAGAGCCTTCATGATCAAAAACGGGATAGGCCTCGATGCACCGCCCTCCATATAGCTCGTCGTTCCCACATACGGCCAACAAGGACGGCATTTGCCAATATTGTCACCGGATTGCTGACCAGCCCGTCCTGCTTAACCTCGAACACAGTCGCAAGACCCGGGAGCCTTCATCCTCTGATCGGCTGACGTCGTGGTCATGGCTTCCACCACACCACAAGCTCCTCACCATCACCGTACCACACCATGTTTTGCCTCAGCAACATCTCCTCTCTGTATATCATGAGATATGACGAACATGGATTGACCTGTATAATACGGTCCAATATTACGTAAAAGATGCTTCAATATCGCTTCAACGCAGCAGTAAAAACGTCTTCGCATTATAGACCCCGTCACCGCATCGGCTCCGTACTCTCACGATTCTGATGCTCATGCCCGCCCTGCTGGCCCTCCTCGGCCTCCCTCTCCCTCAACTTATCTTGATCAGCATGCTTCGCCGGATCAAAGACATAAATCGGGAACTCCAGCCCCACCGTCCTCTTCACAATCACAGGCAACCTTGACCAGATCGCTGGTGGCATGGGAAGGAGAATACTGGTGTCGTGGAGATACTTCTCGTAAGCCGGCCAGTTGCTCCCCTTCTCGTAGCGTTTCTTGGCGCCAGGTCGTTCTTGCAGAGGGAGGCCAGAGAGGAACATGAGTAGTGCTGTGAGGAAGATGAAGCCGAGCATGCTGGCATACAGAGCCGAGTATGCGCCTGCACCCTTGGGAATGGCGCCGTAGCTTGCAGGTGTGATGGCAATGATGAAGATCGCTGGGAGGCAGTGTTAGCGCAAAGTCACCTCGGTCAAGACTGAACGGACTTTGGCTCACCAACTTGTACCATGATCTCAGCAAAGTAATTCGGATGCCTCGACCACGCAAAGAATCCCACATTGCAAATAGCACCCGGCTGCTTGCCCGCCTCGGACTGCTTAAACTGATATTTTTGCGCATCAGTGACCGTCTCCAGACCCAAAGCCAGGATGAAGATGATGACACCGATCACATCCGTAGCCTTGCCAAACTTCGGCTGACGATACGCTAGCACATTCGGCGAGTTCAGGAAAAGGACAGGCAGACTGACGGTCCAGACCCAGAACATCTGAAATACCCAGAAGCCCAGGAAGGTCCAGAACTTGTCGCGTTTGTCATCGAATCTGTCATCTTTGCCAGTCTTAAGGATCCTAAACAAGAGAAAGCCGGCAAGACGACCAGCCCAGAGCATAAGAAAGATGGAGGTGATGATTTGTCGTGGATGCGTCGAGCCACCCATGGCTAGGGTCAAGATGGCAAGCAAGATGAAATTGGTGCCACCCATGAAGTCGGTGAGCTTGTCAAATTTGAGACTGAAGGCGATGCTGAAGCCGATGAGTTGGTAAGCGACTGTCACGATGAAGGTGATGGCGAGGTAGTAGTTGTCCAAGACGTGGACGGGGGCGTGGGTGGGCATCGTGATGCTGTGTTGGCGGCTCCACGCCTGACGTCTCTGGGATAGATTTGATAGACTGATGTCCGGAGGTTTGGGATACGTAAGTGAAGGAGGTGGCGCGCAATCAGTTTAGTATATATTCATCGTCCCGGGCTCGACGGATAGTTTGTCGTCCGCGCAGAAGCGTATTGTCGCTGCGGATGCCTTGAAAGACGTCATGGATCTCGCAAAAAGTTGTCGGAGGTAGGACTCGCCGAGATGGCGCTAGTCCTTTCGTGGTAAGCATCACGAGATCCTCGCGAAAGATGGTATGCTTGGCATCGCCGCGGAGTCACAAAATAATCTACAGCAAGAAATTGACCAAGGTCTCGCGTCAAAAACCTTTGCACAGCCACGTGTGGTGTATTGACTGATGGGCAGCTATTCCGTACAGACTAGAGTCCTCGCCTGGAGTGGGCTGCGATGATTGCTCCCGACATGCTAACGCCGAGCATAACAGAGGTAACTCATATTCGTGCTTCAAGGTAGGTGGGAAGGTAAGTACTGACGAGTAAAGGATGACCTCCTTGCCTTTCAGATCTCTCACTTTGGCGACGATAGCAAACCAGCTGAATGGTTCGTGGATGCCCAAACAGCACTTGCCTCAGCTACTTCCGGCGATGATGGACGACAAGACGACCTCGGACACTATGCCGACGGCAAGATGCGAATGCTGACCGACGAACAAATTGCCCTGTTCCGACATAGCGAGATCGAGCTTCTGCTCCGCGAGAGGAGGCTACGACGCGACGAAGAAGATTACCATGCACGTGATGTGGGTACAGTTGAAGGAGGCGACGAAGAAGAGGATCGCGACCACGAGAATTTCACTACTCACTCAGACTCGAGTCTGGAGGACGACCTGGTCGGTCTGGCGCAGCCGCCAACACAACCACCACCAAGACCCACACCTCCAACTTCCACCTCAAGGCAGAAGCCAAAGCACAGGAAGTCCGCCGCAGCGAAGAAGCGTGCCAAGCGCAGGCAGTCTCAAACCAATCCAAGTGATGACTCAGCGTCCACGGGATCCATGCAACGACATCGTGCACAGGAGGTACCTTACGACCAACGGAACAAGCGTAGATGGGAAGATTATATCGAGGATACCGACCCCGTCCACGGCTCCATTACACATCGTCGAATGGTGCGAGAGCTCGATCAACATTTGGCTGAGGCAGTTGAGGTAGATTATGGCGACGAGTAGCCACCAAGAACCATTGCGCTGGAGCAAGAGCAAGGGAGATACGCGACGAGGATACATTACTCTATACACGTAAGTCGGATCTCTCTTCCCGCCATCCACCTCATCTGATGAAACAGAAACAGTCATCCTTAGACGTAAAGCTGCCTGCAGATATTCCGTACTTTGGATCTGGTCTATAGACACTCATCCAGTCGGAAGCTCACGTGGTTCGTGTCGACTTTAATCTTCTCTCTGATTCGCATCATACTCCACATATGCTATGACATTCCGCCCTTGCTTAGATGCATATTGCTGACAGTCTCATTCGAGAGCAGAACATTCAACCTACAGCTCGTCTGGACGTCTCACTGGGTCTGTCTTGTCGCACGAATACAAGCACCGACGCAAAGCACAGGGTAAGAGTGTAGATTATCAATTTCTCGTACGACCGATGTACGTTAGCCTCAGTAGACGCTCGGAGAACGCTACAACCTTGCCCGCCTCCACAGCGCACCTACTCAGAGTTTCTCGCTAGGCCTAGACGAGGAGTATTCGGCGGCAGCCTCAAACAACTTCATTGTCTTCCTCACACTGATCCTCTCTTCCTCGGGCTGCTCATCAATCAACTTCCGTAACTTCTCGCACATCGGGCCCAGTGCTTGCGCTATCTTTGGCAGCGGCATGTCCATACTAGCACCCGTGAACCAATTTAGTCTGGAGTCCCCCAATCACTCTACCAACTTCTCGTCCTTGCTCCAGCGGATGGTGTTGAGATGTGTCTGCAACTGAAGAAGGGGATAGTCCTTTGGCACATCCGGATACCTGACTGGCCGGCAGAGCTCGTTCTTGGTCGTGTCATCGTCGTGGACTTTTTCGATGAAGCCGATCAAGGCAGCGCTGAAGACGGGCTGGCAGAACCGGACTGTCTGCAGCACAATCTTGTTGCCTTGGAAGACAGACACTGGCGGAACCCGCAACAAAGCAGTGGCGGTGCAGTCGACGTAGAGCGTATCACTGACCGGCACGTAAGATTCTTTCGTCATCTCGACCTTGTCAGCCGATATACTTACGATGCGACCTTTGCGGACGACATCCTTGATCTGGTGGAATTGCTCCAGCTCCGCCGTCGTGACAATCGCCGCATGAAATGTCATCGGTGTTATGTCCTCGTCAAGCTGAATTAACTGCCCGCACTCTTTCAATCTTTGAATGCAGTCGTTCATCGAAGAAGCCAGCATAATGGCCTTGCTCTGTCGCTTGATCCTCTCGCGAACTCGCTCAGCAAACTGCTCTCCCGGCTGCAGGCTCGAGCGATCGAGATACATCGGATCACGGGGCATGATCCAGGTGATGTTGTCGGGATCGACACCATTGTTGAGCAGCCAGAGACAAGAATCAATTCCCGTCTTGCCAGCGCCGCAGATGGTGTAGTGTGCGTGGTGGGTCGTGGTGTTGGCAAGATCATTCGGAGCCACGAGGTCTACGCCAGTGGCGACGGCGTAGGGTGGTGGGCGCATTGCCGGCACCTCAACCTTGACATAATTTGTCTCCACCACTTTCGTCTGGCTGCCGACACCATACTCCTTGCCCGTAAGCAAAGACCGGAACAACCCATCGCCCAGCCACTCGCACTTGGGAAACCACTTCACCCGGCCCGAAGGCAAGAACGTCTGCTGCATATGCCGATCATAATAAGCATTGATCTCGTCACGACTAGAGAGGTCGCTCAATCCTGCATTGCCACCAACCTCTTGAATGACATCGGTTCCATGCTTCAGAACATATGGCTCCTACCATGTCTTCTTGCTCACCGCCTCTGGCCTGGCGCCAACCACAACGCACGGGGCACCTACGGTCTGATCACCACATTGCGGAGTTAACCCTACTGCCACGCAATCGTGGTGTCGTGGGCCTCACGTAACTCGGGATCAGTGCGCACCCGATCGGTGTCCGCCGCCTTCTACAACATGGTCGTCCAGCTAGGCAACATCATCTCGAGCAACGTATATCGAGCGGACGATAAGCCGTTGTATCATCGCGGCAACACGGTCTTGATCTGCATCGACGTAGTAGCGATCCTGCTCTTCTTGGTTGCGAAGATGTACTACCTCTACAGGAACAGATCCCGAGCGGCTCAATGGGAAGCCATGACAGAGGAGGAGAGGGCCCATTACTTGGACACTACAGCTGACGAGGGAAACAAGAGGCTGGATTTTCGTTTTGACCACTGATATGGTATGGTAAAAAAGACCCGGCGACGATCAGGCCTTTCCAATGGACAGATCTCCGCATGGCCACCGAAGTCCAGACTCCCGACCAGAAAACATCGTCGTTCACAATTCCGACATTCCTCCCGCAGCTTTGCAGTCGTTGGCATTTGTGTCGATGTGAGGTGTGGCCACAGGGTACTCAAGCATGGGTAGCACGTAGAGAAACGGTATCCAAGCAGGGCTCGCACGTATCGTGACTCGACCTTCCCATGTACCATTACCACCATGCAGCGTGGCAAGTCAAAGCATCGCATACTGAAGACACAACAGCCTCCAAAGGGCAGGGTCCCTCCTGTGTCTCTCTTCTCCTGCTATCGTCCGATCCACTTGCTGATGAACGAGGCACGGTCGAAGCCATTGACTACTGCAGATCCGTGGGCCCAATTCGCTCGACGTCAGATAAGTCCTCACCAATACTTGCATACTTGGAAGCACTCCGTGCCACTGTGAGCGCTCTCGAGCAATGCACGCGGAAGGGAACAGGTCGCGATGTCCGAAGCGCTGAAGACTTGGCGGTGTGTTGAGGCTCAGAAGATCGTACGAGCGAAGCAGAATATACACAGGTGAGCTTACGGTGTCGGCTCCTCTCCAGGACGATATTTTGCTTTATTCGTGTTGGAAGTTGCAAGTCGATCGAGATGTCAGATAGACGATCATTTGATAGTGGAACGGTTTGATGATGCCTCAAGTGAGGAAAGCGGTCGTGTGTAGACCAAGTATTGAGGCCTGAATTTTGAGGCAGGAACGGCTTCTAAACCCCATTAAGATTGCCTGTATCGCTGTTATCTTCATCGTCCGCTCCTCAATTACGTCCATCAAGGGTTATCCGGTCGATAAGCGGTCGTCAACCTGGCGCTAATTCACAAAAAGCTACACTGTCTAGTACGAGATTCTCAGAACAGTAGCCCCGTGAAGGTGTACGAAACAATAACCTCGACAAAGTCGGTCATAGTACACCATGATATGGTCTGCCAAAGATGTCGACATTACCTGTCGCCCACTTCGACCCAGCGTTTCGAACATTGCGACAACCTGCCAGTCGCTTTGCTGCAGTCTATCGACCTCCTCGAGAATCTGTCTATTACTTCGACATAGTCTGGCGACCACGCTAATAGCCTGTCGATGCCTCCGTCACCTTCGCCATCCTCTATCAACCGCGTCTGTCGACTTCGATGCTGTCTGTTGACTCCAATGCTGTTTGTCAGCACAAGGCTACATTTTTGGCAAGATGCGTCCAATCATTTGATATAGTCTACTGACATTGTCATTCATCCGTTGACTTTACTACTTATCTGCCGACAGCTCCGATAAGATATGTCGATGTCGAAGTTTCGCCGACATCTCCCGGCATAGTCTGTTGAGCATGTCCGATACCGACTGGCGCGACAACTAGTCTTTGTGCTATTTTATCGATGGTATGGCGTAACGGATGGGAGGGCTGCTATCGTCACCGGCCGCCATCGACGCTATCCCAGTCATCACATGTTACCCATGCTTTCGTCTTTTCTGGTCAAGAAGTCTGGAATCTGTGTTGGGTGAGGCCAGATGACGGACATCGACGTAGACTATTCACAAACAGATCATTACGTAGCACTCTGATGCGCCTCCTCATACTCCTCCTGTCTAACCTCCTGCAACCACGTCGTCTCTACCGCCACCAGAACATTAGCAAACATCCAAACAGCACCTCCCAGCACTCTCCGCATACTCACTTCCCAGCGATATAGCAGTGTGCGCCATACAAGTCTCCCTCGTCCCGCCATGCCAATGCTTCTCCCCAGCCGGAACATGCACCATATCGCCCACCTGCAACCTGCGCGGAGCCTGGCCCTCCGAACACACAAGTCCATACCCCAACGTGACGGTCAGGATTTGACCGCGTTCATGAGAATGCCAGAAGGTGCGGGCGCCGGGGGTGAAGCAGACATTGTTTCCCATGCAGTCTGAGGCTGTGAAGATGGGGTCCTACACGTATCCATGAATTCTGCGTGAGTCGCGCGGGTCTTTGCTTTTAGTTTTGGCTGTTGGGCTGGAGCGTCTCACCATATGTACGGTGCCCGTGAATGTCTCAGTGGGCTGCTTGGACGCCGTGTCCGGTTTGTGACATGAGCGGATTAGCTGCATCTTGGCGGGAAACAGTCCTCAGGAATAGATGATAAGCTAGATCGGGAGAGGAGGTAAAACGATATCAAGGTGAGGTGCCTCTGAGGGAGACGCATATGTACGTACATCTGGAAGCATAACGATATCGGCACAACTGATGACGTCTCGCGAAGCTACTCCGCAGAACGATAGAGCTCATCAATCGCAGCAGCTGCAAGAGAGGTCCAGCAGCACAGCAGCTGCAAAGTGAACAGCTCACAAGCCACATAGCATAATGTCTCCGGTCGCTTGCATGCCATGCCATATGATGCCACAAACTCATAGAAGCGGCTCGATGTAAATCTGCCAAGTGCTATACTTCAACACCTCCCGATTCCTGATGACCTAGAAATGATGTAGGATTGCGGAGTCGCATGCCACCGTCAATGGATTCGAATGTAGGTCTGGCTCACTCATGCCCGATCGCTACTGATGAGGTTGACATGCCTGCCACCACAAACGCCGTCGAACCACCAACCCAATTGCCCAGACTCAAGCCATTCATGTTGAAACAACCCAGACACCATGCTAAACGCAGCATGCAAAAGCACACACCCCCCTGACCTCTGATCCCAGTCCACCATCCCATCCTCCTTCCCAGTCCATCCCACCACCAAATCACACCGAAGGATCATGATACAAAAAGTTGATATCCCTCGGCCTGGCGCGATTACTCCTCACAAACTCCGCATCTCCCGGCGGCCGCTCATCCTTGGTATTACTCGCCAACATACTCTGAATACTTATACAAATACTCTCGACATTATGCACGGGGCTCCAACCCTGGGCATCGAGCAAATCCAAGCAAATAATGCCATTGCTGTAAATATGAGGATGGATTGGAATGTCCCGCCGTGGATCGGTTGTGAGACGTAGGAAGACGACCTCGGGGGCCTCGATGGGGTAGTTTTTGGAAAAGGAGAATTTGAGGCGGTAGTGGTCGTGGGGTGGGTAGAGGGGGTTGTCGAGGATGCGGAGGTCCATGTGCCAGGTTTGGAGGTCCGGGGCGGAGACGAGGGTGATGCCCGGGGGGAGGACGCCTTGGATCTGTTGTTGAAGAAGTGTTAGTATATACAATGTGCGAGTTCCTGTGTTGCAATGATGTAGTCGATGGTGTGCTCACCTTGGCCAACTCCTTCTGTAGCCGCTTCCCACTCATGCCCGCCATGTTGGAGTAGGAAGAGAAGTGTATGGTGAGGCCTGGTCTGCGATCTGAGGCACGGGTACTATTGTAACAGGTGTTGCCTAGCACTACGGCTCGTCGATCGAAAAGTATGGGTGTGCCGCTGGTGTGGGGATCGATGAAGCTATGCTGCGAGGCCGCAAGTTGTGATATATGCGCAGTGGTCGTAGAAGTGGGTTGTACGTGTTTCGGCTGTACGTGCTTGTGTAGGAGTGTCTCAGGTGATTGTTATCGGTATGTGGCAGGATTTATATGCGTGGAAGGCTCAAAGCTGTATTCACTACCTTTCACATGCAGCCTTCTCTCACGTGTCTCCTGCTTGCGTGGGGTATATTATTCTCAGAGCGGTCATCGAATATCGAAGGTAAAGTACTGGTGCACGTGACTGATCTGCTCCCAAAGAAGGTGAATGATAGAGATAGCTAGACCGATACGCTCATGTCAAGAGTGCTATACAGGACAACGCAGCTCCTCCCGTTCGTTGGTATGAAACATATGTTGCTTGCATCGCCATGGAAAGATCGACCGACGAGGGGCAGCAAGGTCGCGCTTGTGGCGGGGGCGCAGCAACGCAACGCAACAACCTGGCTCCAAGCTCACCACCAAAAACAATCCCCTCAGCCTCACAGCTCCTGAACGAGAGATATCTGATTGACTGACTGACCGCCGTACTTCCTTTGCATGATACCCTACATACTCGCAACCTGCCTACCTGCCTGCCATTGCTCACTTGCTGTCTTCCTGTGTTTCGACATTCTTTGCCCGATCAATAGACACCTCGGGGACAGATCTACGAACGATAGGCGCAAGCTTGAGATCGCTGGGGCAGCAACATAATCACAGGCGGCCTCGAGGCTGCCCAATAGTATAACCAAGATGCCTCGTATATCTCCCCCAACTCCGTCACAGCAACGCAGGAGCCCAGCTAATAGATCCAACAACAGTAACAAACATGCTCAACAAACTCCAAGGCCAACCGGAATCCTACGACCGCAAATCCAAATACCACATGGGCCGCACCCTCGGCGCAGGAACCTACGGCATAGTAAAAGAAGCCGACTCACCCACGGGCAAAGTCGCCGTGAAGATCATCCTCAAAAAGAACGTCAAGGGTAACGACCAGATGGTCTACGACGAGCTGGAGATGCTGCAGCGCCTCCACCACAAACACATCGTGCGCTTTGTCGACTGGTTCGAGAGCCGGGATAAATACTACATCGTGACGCAACTGGCGACGGGCGGGGAACTCTTCGATCGGATCTGTGAAAAGGGCAAGTTTACGGAGAAAGATGCTTCGCAGACGATCCGGCAGGTGCTAGAAGCCGTGGATTATCTGCATCGGAATCATATCGTGCATCGGGACCTCAAACCCGAGAATTTGCTCTACCTCACCCGCGCCGCCGACTCAGATCTCGTGCTAGCTGATTTCGGAATCGCGAAACATTTGGATACACCAGATGGAGTACTGAAAACTATGGCGGGATCATTCGGCTATGCCGCACCAGAAGTCATGCTCAAACGGGGCCATAGCTATCCAGTGGACATGTGGTCGATGGGAGTAATAACCTACACCCTCCTGTGCGGGTACTCCCCTTTCCGCTCCGAATCCCTTGCCGACCTAATCGACGAGACGAAACACGGCCGCGTAGTCTTCCACGAACGATACTGGAAAGATGTGTCGCAGCAAGCAAAAGCCTTCATCATGACCCTACTCAAACCCGACGCGAAAGACCGAGCCACGAGCGCCCAGGCGTTGAAGGATCCATGGATCAGTGGGGTAGGAGCGACCGATCACAACTTGCTACCGGAGATCAAAGCATACATGGCCCGAGCGAAACTGCGGCGAGGCGTGGAACTCGTGAAGTTGGCGAATCGCATCGAGGCGTTGAGGATGCAGGAGGATGAGGAGGAAGGGGTGCCGAACCAGGCAGATATACCGGCGAATGCGCAAAAAGCTGCTCAGGAGGCCGTGGTGGCGCATGCGGGGAGTGTGGGTGGTGGGAGTGGAGGTGGGCTGAAACCGCCGGGAGCAGGGGAGATACCGCGGAAGCGGAGTTTGTCTAAATTGGCCAAGACTGCTATTTTCCGAGAGGTGGGTACAAAATCGTGAAAGTCGGAGATCTGGGTAGAGTGTCGTGCTAATGTGTGTGTGATTCTGTACAGGTCGTGCTGGCTAAAGTGCGCGAGATGAAGGCCGAGGAGGAGCAGAAGCGGACGATTGATGAGGCGACGCATGGAAGTAAGCATTGATTGGCATGTGCCGACGAAATTGGTTGAGTGACGCGATGGGGTGGGATGTTCGTGAGGAAGTGGGATGAGAGATACCTAAGCTACCTACCGTAGGCTGACAGGCCTGCCGCTTGTTTCACGGTGGGCTGACGCGACGAAGCGTAAATCCATGGCGGATGGCCGTGGGAAGAGGAAGAGAGTGGCAACAGGCTGCGAAGCCTAAGTAGCAGCAATACCCAAGCATGTCTATGTTCATTAGTGGAGTGGTTCAGCATTGTCAGGTTCAACATAGATCAGGTAAGAAGGTCGAGCAGATTCAGCATCGTAGCCTGGAGATTTCGAGAGGTCTGCCCTTCGGTCGTGGTGCTTGATCATGTACATGATTTTGGGAGGTTCATGATTCTACCTGTAATATTCCCATTAGCCCTGTACTCCGACCATCTGTGTCCAAGACCATCATGTGCGTGTGCAGTGGTAGTTATCGTTATTGTACTATCAGAAACCCAAATTCTAAGCAGCGACAGGATAAATGCAGGCAATTGTCGATACCAGCATTTCCCTATTCCTTTTACGGCTCTTCCTATTAAGCAAGAAAGGTAAATCTCATCATGTTATACAAGTGTGTGTTGTGTTGTTGTAAGTCAAGCATGAAGGAGAAGAGTTCGACGTACCTTTCATTCAGGACAGGACATCTTGAGGGATGTCTGCCGTCTACTCTCTCTCTCTCTCTCCTTCACAACGGCATCATGTCCCGACCTGGACGGGATGGACAATGTCATAGCATAGCAACGGTAGATGGTTCCTTGCGGCTCTATACTCGCGATCTTGCGGTAATCTAAGGTAATAATGTGATGGGTGAAAGGGCAAAGTGGGAAATTCTGGTGGAAAGGACTAGACTTCATGCGCCACACAGGTGGCGTTTTGTGCGGCGAGGCCGGGTAATCACAAGCCAGGAACGTGCCAGTTGTGCATATGGAAGGGAAGTGTATATCATCGCCGTGCCAAATGGCTTTGAAATAGATGTAGTGATTACTCACGGTCTGTATCTGTGTCCTCCTCTTTCTTTTCATACAACCACTCTCGTTATTGGTGACGACGATTGATTCGCTTGGCCTCCCTCCTGCAAGCGTCCTCGCTATCGTCGTTCATTGTTCATTGTTTTGATCTATCCGCATACGATTACCAATAACGACGACAACGACAACTGCCATTCGAGGCATATTTGACGACAGTAGTAAGTGAATGGTGCTGCTAGAGTGTGCTATATCACACAGCGCTAACGTCCTCACTCAAAGCATAACTACGACGATGCGAAGATCAACAGCGGCACGAGCATTCTACCTGGCAGTATTTGCACTGTTCAGCAATGACTGCGTTGCCCACGCCGCCTCTTCCACACCCTCCCATGCAAGCAGTCCAGACGTCTGCGCCGTAAGTACCTCGACCCAATTTCAATCCCGACCCCTCATAACACCATCCAGCTCGAACCTCGTGCCAAAGTCTCCGACGCATGTGCATCATACGCCGATCTCGACCAGCTGAACAACCGACTCTACCCCTACGTTCACAAACTCGCCAACAACACCGACTTCTTCTCCTACTACCGGCTCAACCTCTATAACAAAGAGTGTCCGTTCTGGAGTGATGAGAGTGGCGCATGTGGCAATATCGCCTGTGCAGTGACGACGGTGGAGAATGAAGAGGATGTGCCCGCGATATGGAGGGCGGAGGAATTGAGTAAGCTCGAAGGACCGAAGGCGAAGCATCCTGGTCGGAAACAACAGAAGGAGAGGCAGAGACCACTTCTCGATCAGCTGGGTGAGAGTGTTGGGGAGAGTTGCGTGGTGGAGTATGATGATGAGTGTGATGAGCGGGATTATTGTGTGCCGGATGATGAAGGCGCAGCGGGCAAGGGCGACTATGTCAGCTTGGCGGACAATCCAGAACGTTTCACTGGATATGCTGGCGAAGGAGCACATCAAGTCTGGGAGGCGATATATCGCGAGAACTGCTTCTCCCGACCACCAACCAGCGATCGTAGTGTCGGCCTACCTGGCCTATCCGCACTCTCCCCAGGCCTATCCCAAAACCAAGCACAAGCCGCCCTAGACTTCAAGCAGGTAATGAAAGCCCACGACCGACAAGGAGCAACCAAATCCGGCACCACAGAAGAGAACGCCCCAGAGTTCGAAGACGAATGCCTGGAAAAACGCGTCTTCTACCGCGTAATCTCCGGCATGCACGCCGCAATCTCCACCCACCTCTGCCACGACTACCTGAACCAAACAACCGGCCAATGGGGTCCGAACCTCCAATGCTACAAAGACCGCCTCCACAACCACCCGGAACGCATCTCGAACCTCTACTTCAACTACGCCTTGGTCTTGCGAGCCGTGAGTAAACTACGCGACTACGTGCAAGACTACACTTTCTGCACGGGCGACAGCGCGCAAGACGCCAAGACGAAAAACATGATCCGGCAGCTCGCGGACAACATCCCGCCCGGCCCTCAAATCTTCGACGAGAGCATCATGTTCCAAGACCAACCCGGCTTAGCAGACGGTCTAAGTCTGAAAGAAGACTTCCGCAACCGCTTCAGGAATGTAAGTCGGATAATGGACTGCGTAGGCTGCGACAAATGCCGACTCTGGGGCAAAGTCCAGACGAACGGGTTCGGGACGGCGTTGAAAGTCCTCTTCGAGTTCGGCAACGGTCACGAGGATCAAGAGAAGCCGCTTCTACGTCGGACGGAACTGGTGGCGTTGATCAATACCCTGGATAAGATCAGTGGGGCTATGAAGGCGATTGAGCATTTCCGGGAGATGATGGTGGTGGTGGAGTTGGAGGGGGGGAGCGTGGAGATGGCGCAGAAGGTGGTGCAAACCAATATCTCGGACGATATTGAACTCGACGATTTCCCTCCTTCCTCCTCCTCCTCCCACGACACAGACAAGCCCGAACTAAACCCGGAGACCCTGACCCAGATCTTCACCCAAGAACTCGCGCTCGTGTGGAGCGCTTACGTCTTTGTATTGAAATCGTGGTTCGGCTTACCGAGGAAACTGGGCGGGATCGCGCTGAGTGAATTGAAGCGGCTGTGGGAATTTTGGTTGGGGAGGCCGGTGCCGGGGCGGAGTTGGGAGGTTAGGATGCCGAGGCGGGATGAGATGTGAAAATCCCATGGCATAGCATGGCATGGCAATATCCTGCTTGTGGTAGCGTGGAGTTTTTGGGAGGATATAACTATACAGGATTTAGGAAGTCCAGTGTTCAGAGTGAATTGCGCAGTCTTAGAAGTAGTGGGTAGTCGGTATGAACCTGAAATCTGAACCTGCTGTCATACATGCATCGCTGTCGCCGCATCTTCATCATCTGAAGGACTTTCCCTCTCACGTGAGTACTATATCGTTCACTTGATCATCTCTAGTCGAAAACCGACCTCATGGGAAAAGGCCATGGGATGTCTTATCTATCTACCTACCTACAAATAATTCCCCCCCGCAAACTTTGACGAGAAGCCCGAGGCTTGATTGAGTAGTTGTTTGCGCTTCGTCCCATCGATGCGCATACCGGCGCCCATGTCCTTTTCTCGGTCGAAGGAACGTTTGCTGGGATCGTCTTCGAGCTCGGCGGAGGGGCCTTTGGTCGCTTCGTGACGGGACATTAGGGATGGGCCTCTTGACTTTGCCTGAAGAAGAGTGGTTGGTATTAGCAATGAAGGAAATTACGAGGACACAGAATTGACATGGAAGTGAGTGAGTGAAAAGAGTGAAATACGTACGATATGCTCCCTCGCCTCCTCATCTAGGTCCGTTGCCCTCTTACTCCTTTCAGCTGCCGGTATCGCTTGCGAGCCCGAGCCCGAGCCAGACGAGGTAGAAGTGGCAACCACCCCCATCATCTCATCCCTTAACCTCTTCCGCTTCTGCTCCGGAGTCTCGTTCCACGCCGAACTACCATCCTCAGTACCCATGGCACTATTAGGCCCTTTAGCTCCCTTTCCAGTATTGAAACCTCGGGCGCGGGGTTTGGAGGGGTCCATGCGGGCGGCTAGGTCGTCTTGGGTGGGTGGCATGGTCATCCAGGCATCGCGTTGGGGTTGCTTTGAGAATTCTTGGGGGTTGGAGGAAGTGGTATCATCACTCTTGGTTGGGTCTTTGCGGTGTGAAGATGTGGTTGTGGTGGCGTTGGGGGAGGGGAGTGCGGGTCCGAACTCATCGTCGTCGTCTTCTTCCTCGCCATCGACATCATTGAAGGTCGTCGGTGGTGGTGCGTCCGGTATCTCATTCAGTGGTGCAGGGGGCATAGCAGGTCCTATGACCTTTCGTCGCTTCTCGCCACCATCTTGGTTATTATTATCAGATGATGGCCTTGCGCCGGAAGCTGTGGCTGGCTTGTCTTCGGTAGTGGCTTCTTGCTTTCTTTTCCTCTTGGCTAGGAGGTGTGGTGGGAGATCTGGTCCTAGGGCCGACATTATTGTGCCTGTTGTATGTTGTCCTGACGGAGTATATATGTAGGTGATGGTGGTTGAGGTTGGATGTGTGGGTGAAGCTTTGGCCGCGCCGCGGAGGAGCGTCTGCTTGCGACTTCGAGCTTCATCATCAGCATAGCATATTTATTAGGTAGCTGCTTTCGTCATTATTCACTGGACTTGCTCAAGCCCTGGATGAATGTTGTCTCGAGGAAGTAGATGAAGGAGTCTGACAGCTCTCGATTAGTAACATCAGGAACAGGAAGACGGAGTGATTCGTTAGATATATCGCGTGGCACGGCGCAGCATCGATAGAGCCGGCCCACAAGTGCAACACCCTCTACGTCTGGAGTAGAGTGCAATGTGGACGCTGAATAGTGACCGATGAGCTCCCCTGCTCGAGGCGATGCGGAAGGAGGCGACAATGAGGACGTGCAGGCAGACGAGACAACCCGTACAGAGGATGAGCGGGAGCGGCGGCGGAAGGAGGAAGAGGATGACACCGACGACGAAGACGGCAGTGTGATCTTTGGGGACATGCAGGGCCACGAAAGGGACGATCCGATGGATGAAGCAGGTACTGGAGGACTAGATGAGCACGAATTGCTGGAGCAAGACGTGCCTCAGATACTACGAGAGGATGTAGATGGAGGAGTAGAGACGCCGGACCTTGATCTCGGACCAGATTTGGGACCCGACCCAAGCCCTTCAACACCGCTAGCGGCGAGTCCCCTGGCCAGCCCAGCAGACTCCGGCTCCATACCAGACGATACGCCCTCCCTACAAGGCTCCCTTCTGTCCTCGCCTGGCCGCGTAACATCTCCTTCACATTCACCACGGAGGCCGATCGGGCGCACCGCCTCCAGCGCACTGCAGCCATTCGAGCGCCGCTTCGAGACAAGGCTTTCAACTTCTCCCTCTCCCTCACCTCGGCCCTCTTCCCCTGCCTTCCTCACGCCACATTCACGGCAGGTATCACTAGCATCGCACTTCTCTGCTTTGTCATCTCAGGATGGCTCAGTGTCAGGTGACGAGGCTCCGCAGGCTCCATGGGAAGTGATACGCTGGAACAGGCTCCGCAAGATCACTGGCCAAGCCTTCTCGGAATCCGGCAAACGCAGCTTCGGTCGACCAACATGTCTTGCTGTGTCTGCTTTGATCGCCATAGGGACGTCCAAGGGCTTGATCCTCGGCTTCGACTACCATCAGAACATGAAGTTGATAGTGGGTCAAGGGACCAAGGCAACGGAATGTGGTAGTGTGACATCCATTGCCATCTCTGCAGACTACTCTACCATAGTAGCGGGCCATGCGAACGGGTCAATCTTTACTTGGGAGATCAGTCGGCCTGCGAGACCCTTTTTGCAGGTTGCACCATTAGCTCATGCCGAGCTGAGTCAACGGCAACACCCAGATGGTCACGTCTCGGACTGTGCTGTACTTCATGTAGGCTTCCTCGGAACACGACATACGGCACTCGTATCTGCTGATGCCGGAGGAATGGCGTTCTCACACCTCGCCACCCGCGGCTTGGGACCAGTGACAAGGACGATCAAGAGCACACGACTACTAGGCAGATATCCTACTACAAACGAAAGTGCTGAGCGCAACCGGAAACCGAGCTCAGTCCTCGCCTTCTCGCCACTCCCACTGGGCAACGTCGAGCAATCTACTGATAACATGGGCCTGACAGCTCTGCTGACTCCATATCTACTCGTCATTGTCTCAACCACACCAATCGCACAAACTCAGCACAAGTCTAGTCGACCGAAAGAAATCACACCCCATGGCACTTTGAGTGGCTGCCTAGCATGGTTCCCAGCCGTCAAACTCAAGGCATCTAACGCGGAGAAAGACAAGGAGAACTCGGATACGAAGCTCGTGTACTGCTGGTCAAATGTCCTGATTGTGTTGGAAGTGGTCGTGCAAGAAAATGCGGATCCGGCGAAGCCACCGAGTCTAGAGTTCCATGTGCGAAGCCGATGGCGCGCAGACGAAGCTATCGTCGCCGTGCAATGGCTCGGCCGGTCTGTTCTGGGGGTACTGACTGTAAGCCAGCGGCTTCTCATTGTAGAGGACAATACACTTCAAGTCACGGACTCCATTGATCTGCTGCACCGCCATTTATACCATCAGAACCTATTCGCTGATCAGCTTCAAGCGATCGTAGAGCGCGTGGACAGCGATGATCCTTCATTGCATGGGGTTGTAGCAGATGCCTTCTACATGAGCTTCCGTGCCTACAAGGGGCGAGTTTTCCTGCTTGGATTCAATGACCTGACGGTTGGCACACTCTCAAATTGGGCGGATCGACTCATGGCGCTCATGGAGAACGGCGATCATATTGCCGCCATCCGCCTCGCAACGGAATACTACAGTGGCGGCGCGAACAATGTCACGATTGGCCTGCCCGAGAATGACGCAGCGAGGCACGAAGTCGTGCGAGAAAGGTTACTAGCTATGATTAGTGCATCACTCAGCTACAGTTTCTCGCAACACGATGAAGAGCGATCGAGTCGATTGCAGGAGCTGGCCGAAGTCTGCTTCGGGGCGTGTATGGGTATGCAAGAGACAGACTACCTCTTCGATGATTGCTTCGACAACTTTGACGATGCAGACGAGAGCGAACTTTTTGTTACGACACTAGAGCCATACGTGCTAGATGGCGAAGTCAAGGTCCTACCGACAGAAGTCGTCAACAGTATCGTCTCGCACTTTGTCTCCGAGAACCAAGCAGCCCGACTCGAAGAACTGTTATGCAGACTCGACCCCTTAGCCTTCGACCTCGATCAGATCACGATGCTCTGCCGACAACATGGTCTTTATGATGCTTTGATCTACGTCTGGACGCAAGGCATAGGAGACTTCGTGACACCATTGATTGACCTCCTGACTCTAGTCAAGATGCTACGACAAGGTGATGACGACGAAGATCTATCAGATGATCCCTTCTATGAGTCTGCGAGCAAGGTTTTCCCGTACCTGGCGTATGCTTTGACTGGTCGACGATACCCTGGTGGTGATCTAATTGATGATTCGGAGGCGGAGAGGGTGAAGGCGGATTTGTACGAGTACGTCTTTGCTGGTACGCCTATGCCTTGGCCACCCGGCTCGCGAAGCACATTCCGTGTTGCAGATACTGCTGAGGACGAGCCTGCATTCCCATATCTCGTGCTACTATTGAAGTTCGATACCGCGAACTTCATCAGCATGCTGAACGAAGCCTTCGAAGACTCTTTCCTCAACGTCCTCGACGAAGATTCCACCACCAACGGCTTTATACTGAACGGCTCCAGTAAGCGAGCCGGCTACACAATGACTCGACAACACATCATTAGCATTATGCTAGACGTCATGCGCCAACAAGATTTCTCTCCCGAGCAGGTAATCTATCTCGACATGTTCATTGCTCGAAGCCTGCCAAAATATCCCGGCCAGCTTGTTCTGTCCGGCTCACTCCTCACGCAAGTGCTGCAGAGGTTATGTGACCCGCCGACGGATGAGCTACGGGAGGACTGTCAGCTGAGTATCGAGTACCTGCTCTCGGCCTATAAGCCGCCTGATGTCTCAAGACTTGTGCGTTTGTTGCGGGCTGCGAGGTTCTTTCGGGTGCTCAAGACGGTTTACCGTACGGAACGGATGTTCACGGATCTGCTTGGGGTGTACTTTGTGGATCCGGAAGATAGACAGGGTGTCTTTCGTTGCATAGCGGATTGTCTGCTCCCGAGTACTGCTGCTAGCCAGAAGCAGATTTCTGCGGTCAAACGCATCGTACTGGATCATGCTGTGGATCTAGCCGATATCGATGTCGTGCAGGCTGCACGTACACTCTGCACATCCGCTCCAGATCTTCTTGAGCCTACTGTTAATGCCTTGCAAGACTCATACCAGCAGTTCTTATTCCTCAGGACCATACTTGAGCCTGCTCTGCTGCAGCAGTCTCGCGCGAGCATTGCCACGCTGCCAACACCTGAAGCGCAGAAATCGACTTTCATCGAACAATACATACAGCTTATGTGCTTGCATAACCCGACGCGAGTAGCTGGCTATATCGACACGCTACCGACAAGCAATCTACACCTCGATCACATCCTGCCTGCGATGGAAGAAGCAGGCGTAATAGATGCTGCTGTGTCACTTTTGAGTAAAGATGGCAGAGCAAGGGACGCCATGGATCGCCTAGTATCGCATTTACAAAGTCTCGAGCAGGCACTGACAAGCCTGCTTACGACTGCAGCTGAAGCACCCGATGAGAGTGCCACGTACGAAGCTGCTGACGATCTGACTCAAGCTGTTGAGAAGTACACCAAAGTCGGCATCTGGTTATGTCAAGGGCAGACCGCAACGACACAACGCCGACCACGACCTCGAACGAACCTTGCTTGGGATGTATCGGAGGACGACCTTGATCTGGACGAGTATCTGTGGCTGAATCTAGTCGATGCAGTCGTGCAGGTCACGAAGAATGCTGGTGCAGCGGCAAATCAGTACGAGGACCAGAGGACATCCTCGGGACATGATGTCCTCGATGTCAATCAGATCGTGGCATCCCTACGCAACAACGTTCAACAGACCTTCACGGCGCTCTTATCGGCGACCGCCACATCGAGCGCAAAGCGTGCACCAGACAGCAACACGAACTCGCGACAAGACAACCTCAGTTTCCTCCGCGTCCTCCGTGCCTTCCTCACGCGCGCCGCAACCACCGCTCCCTCCCTCGCCGACCTCCGCGCAGTCCTTTCCGATATCTTCTCCGCTTACGCCTTCGAACAAGGAGTCTTGAGCCTGGCCAACGAACTCCTAGGCTCAGACGTCTTCGCCGAGATCAAGGAAGTCCACGATCTACGCCAAAGAGGCTGGAGGCCCCGATCGCAAGTCTGTGAGCAGTGTAAGCGGAGGGCGTGGGGTCAAGGCGTCGGTGAAGCGGTCTGGGATGCTTGGATTGTGAAGGAGGGGAGTCGAGAAGCTGAGAAGGCGCGGAAACTTGTTGAGCGGGGGGGTGGGGAGGAAGCTCGACGGCTGGAGAGGGGTAAGGCGAAGGCGAAGGCTGCCGTTACTACTGCTGAACGAGGTGGTGTGGAAGATGAGGAGAGTAGGAAGTTGACGCTGGTAGTGTTTGCTTGCCGGCATGTTTACCATCGGGTCTGCATCGATCCTGGGTTTAGAGATGGCGGGGCTGGTATGAGGGGCTTGTTGAAGTGTCCACTATGTAATCATCATGAATGAGAACTCGTAATTCTGCAGATACCAAATCATTGCAACACCAACACAAGCCCCTGTTTTCTTGACGACCTCTCTCATCGTACCACTCACAGCCGTCTCGTGTGCGCGGAAGACCTCCGCTCCAGTCATTGCCTCGCCTACAACCATCACTACCATTCCCTCATCATCACTCGCAAACCCCACAAACCATCAGACTCAACCACCATGTCAACTTTCTGGTACATCGGCTGCCTCTCCGGCGCATCAAGCGTAATGCTCGGTGCCTTCGGAGCCCACGGACTCAAAAGCCGCATCGACAACCCTGCACGTCTAGCGAACTGGCATACGGCAGCACAATATCAACTAATGCACTCCGTCGCCCTCCTCGTTGCCGAACAAGCCGCGCCGAAGAATGTGTGGGCGAAGGGATTGTTTACTGCGGTAAGTGCTTTGGTTGGTCGGTAAGTGAGCGGACGTGTGTGGCTAGAGCTGATGGTGCATGTTCAGGGCATCACGATGTTCTCTGGGAGTCTTTACCTGCTTGTGCTTGACCCGGCACAGTTCAGATTCATGGGACCTGTGACTCCTGTGGGAGGTCTATGCTTGATTGGCGGATGGGCGGCATTAGCCTTTGGAAGCAGAGGACGTGTGGCGTTGTAAGCTGGTGAAGCTTTTGGTTGTGCATATCCTGACGTGTACGACATGGTTGGGCAAGAATTCCACCATCATCCGCTTCATACTGCTGTCGAGTACGATCGTATAACCATTCGCATATGACAGAAGGATCGTTGCAGGACTTTGTACCGACGCGCTTTGCATGCTGACTACATGTAGTCGGCACATCCGATCTGGGGTCAAAGAGATCTATTGGTAAACGACAGACTGAAGCAGTCTCTGGGCAAGCATGAGTGCACGATAAAGTGGCGATCATCAAGCGATCAATCGACAGTTGGTCTTCCGGTGCCTCTGACTCGAGGTGTTCATTCTCCAGTCCAAATACCAAGCTGACTATCTTGTTTTGATCGGACGCGTTCACCATCCATACAACGTACACAACGACGCATTTGACTTCACGCATGATATGTGGAAACTTTGGAGAAGATCGCCTGCACGATACTGATGCACCTACCTACCTTAGACTTACCTCTCAGACGCCAAAAGCAAGAGTCGTGATGATGCAAGCCCACCAGGAGCAGTGTCCACACCTAACTGCACTGAAAACTCCCAATCGAGTCGATACCATAAACGTGCGCCGTAGGATTCGTCCTGGTATTGAAGGCGCCTCCGATACCAGAAGCCTGGTTCTTCGAGTCCTTCGGACATCCAGTCTGCTTCCACATAGTACACTTATGGTTGAGAGGCAAGTAGATGAGAGCAGCACCAGGGTCGGAGGACATGCACTTGTTCAGTGTCATCTGGATGGTGTTACATCCCGTCGAGTCCTCGTTGCAGTATGTCATGGCCATGACATTGTGCTTTCCGGGCGATCTCACTGGGAGGACTGAGGTGAGGGCTAGCACAGCGTACGATGCTGCGGAGATGAGGAATATGAAGTGCATGTTGTGATTAAGAGTGAGGCTTGGTAAGGTATTAAGGTCGTTATGGTCTGTTGGTCAAGTTTGGTAGACTCGATGCGAGAATCGCTGCTAGGTAGGCATCGGGCGAGGCGGGATGCTCTATTGTTCAACTACAAAACATCACCACAATGCGGCTTTGTCAGCCCTTTGTGGTAGTGCGAGTTATTCTTGGTATGTGAGATGTAGACAATGGATACCAGTTGGCAGGAGCTTCGGAGCATACTGATCGCGGCGAGAGAGTGTCACAATACCCGTTCTGGCATACACTGACAGTCTAATAGTGTCCAAACCCGCGGACGGGAAGAGGCGCTATACTGTAAAGACGGCGATGTCTCACGAAATGAGAACCGTTGGGCCAGGAACACTCGCTAGACCAGACGACAATGACACACGGGATCGCGCGTCTCGAATGTGGGCTGGCGATGTGTCGAGGCAGACTGTTTGACCTCTCTCTTGTACGGTCGCCTGGTAACAATGACCCGGGGAAGCAGGTGGTGCTGAGATGGTCGATGAAGGAAATTCCCTTTGCGAACACTTAAGACCGACAGCCCCCTTCCACAAACGACATGGCTGATACTGCCCACAACCTCCAACGCCTTGCTTGAACGCTCGCAAAATGTATCTCATAATCCTCAGTCACGTGCATACGTGATCTTTCCGCGTTTCGAAGCCTTGCCATCCTCCTCATCGTCCTTTTCCGTCGGACGCTTCTTCTTATTGCCAGCTTTCGTGGTCGCGGCCGACGCGCCAGCCTCACTACCGCGTGTCGATAGTGGTGGTGGGAAGCTGGCAGTAGGTGTCGCGGCATGTGAAGGTGTATTGGAGTCCGGACCATCCTGTGCCTTCCCAGATTGTCAGTCGCAATCACTCACGCAACCCACACCCTAGATACCACTCACCCTCATCCAGCTAACAGAGCTGCGACTGAACATCCTGTCCTCGTCCCTCACTCTGCCTCGCCGTCTATCATCACCACCTCTGCCGCCGACCTGCACACCTTTCACCCACCCATCGAAGCCGCGTATGATATTACCAGAGTTGGCTGTCTCTTCCAAGTAGTTGCCTTCGGTTTTGAAGATGTTATCCTCCAATGCAGCCAACTGCTCGTCGAGCTTCCGCTTCTTTTCCAGCGTTTGACGAAGTGACGTGCGTAGCGACTCGTAGTATGGCCGACCCGGTTGGTCTGCAGTCGCAGTGCCTGCGGCTGTGGAAGACGGCGGCACGTTCTCTGCCATGCTTGTCTTGCTCTGCACGTGGAGATTGCTGCGTAGGTTGTGACTGTAGCTTGCTACTGTCTACTGTTGATTGGCAGGAGAGGAAAGCACGCTAGCGCGCGCGGATTCCCCGATCCTGATAGTTCTACATAATGTACGGCATAACCGTCTCGATATTGGGACCGACACTTCTACAATCCGGCATGCTCCCTTCTTCCTCGCCTGGCCAAACATTCGGAAGGAGCGCATATTAAGACTGAAAGGTCTTTCCACACAAAGGCAAGCAGGTGAATGTTCAGAGCCGACACGGGTGCTATATAATACTCGCGCTCAGCAACCGCTTCGCTTGCCCGTATCTCTCTGCCAACAAGATGAAGCCGCCCGTATGATACAGACTTGCCTGCCATTCCATCACTACCGCAATACTCAAGACGATGTCTACAACAAGTCAGCAAATCAACCAGAGCTTTACGGAGAGCGAGACCTACAATAGGAATAATAGTCCCTTGTATCTGATCCTCAGCATCAGTCGTGAACATAGGCCCGCACGCCAGAAACGGGGCAGTCGTCTTCGAATCACCAAACACACCTCCACAGCCACTCGTAGTACCATTGGCGCACCACTGTCGTCTTGTCAGCTAGGAACTCGAGCATCATCTCATGCACACTCACTGCATAGGCAGTCCAGCCCAGAGCAAACATTGATGTCGCCGGGACCACGAACGAATACTGCGCCTCGACCGAGCTCTGAGCTGGGAATGAGCGCTGCGTGGCATTTTGTAAGACGCCAAAGAAAGCGTTATACTCTGGACCTGCCGCAGACCTGCCGTTGACTGTCCGGTTATTCTTATCCATTCCAGTATCGATGTTCATTGTGAAGGGGCATCTATCCGCTTCGCACGAGAAATGAGGCGATATGAGTTGGGTATTGCGGAGAGTGGTGTAGTTGCCGAGGACATTGACTTGGCAGCCATCGTCACCTGCTCGTTTCTCTAGGCCAGCCGATAGAGAGTGTATGATTGTGGCGGAAGATGGGGCGATGAAAAATGCTGCCAGGATTACTGCAAGCAGTAGCACCGAGAAAGTGGGCGCTGTACGGCGCCCAGGTGCGCCAGATGTCGACTCGGCAGTGAAGTTTTGATTCGTGATGTTGCCAAAGCAGAATGCAGAGTCGATGGTGCTGTTCGTCGCATTGCTTCGGGTCAAGCACTGCATGAAGTCCTGAATACCATTGGTATAAGGACAGGAGCTCCAGCATCCGTAATTCGTAACGCCGGGACAGCACGAGGATGCTATGGCAGAGATACTCCCATTCTTGTTGCTTCGGACACCGCAGATGGGTGATGCTGTGGTGTTGGGTAGGAATGCCTGGCCAATGCCGATACTGCAGTCGCTGTAGAGTGAGGCGGCGTCAGACATGATGTTGGCAGTATTCTAGTGTCAATTTGGCTCTCTTCTTATGGCAATACCGCCATGATATATAGTCGGATCCCAAGCCGAACCATGCGCTTTGACTTCACGCTTGAATACCACCAAGGATCACACTACTTCAAGGCTCAAGGTTACAGACAAGTCACGAGCAGTCTTCTGTGGCCAATCCGAGAGCCTTTGAGACCATAGCGGTCCGCGAGGATGCAACGGTGGCACCTGCGAGCGTAGCGTAGACCTCTGAGCCTCGTGCATGCTGTAGTGATTTCCTAAAGCCTTGGTCTTCGCACTCCCGTACAAAGCCGCAATCAAAATCCGTGCTACCATGACTTGCTTTGACGAAGGACTTGGGTGACCTGACGATCAATAGGACGGAGCCCCATCGTCCGTGGAGTAGCTGCTTGGCACAACTCCGCTCAAATTCAGTCTTGATGCTCGAAGGATGACACTACGTCAGGAACGCTACGCAGGAGGATGCGTTTGGTGCGAAGACAAAGTGGAAGGAAGCGCAGTTGACAAGCCGGGAGCCGAACAAGCTTCTTGGCATCGTCTGGCAACGACACTAAGGATAAATCTATCAGCCTGCTCAGAGATTACAGCATGGCAAAAACACTGCAGATCTCCGAGGACCTTCTCATTTGTGTAGCATGCGGTACACAATTCGATGTGCCTGCGCGAGAGCCATTGAAGAATTGCAGGATATGTGATGTAGGCACGATAATCTCGAGATTCTTCAACATAATGCTGAGGTACATGTCAGGACCCAAGACAGTACATACCGCCAGGCGGTCAGACATGGACATCCTTGGCCGAGATGAAGGGCAAGTACAAGAATCGCATGGAGCAAGTAGGCACAAGCAACAATGAGGACCGAATGTACAGTATCGTCACAGAGCCAAAAGTGGCGATTGGACAGCGATGCATTCTGATACAGACTGAAGAGGGTAACGTGCTCTGGGATTGCATCACGTTTCTCGATCAAGATACAGTGGACTTCATAAAGAGTAAAGGCGGGCTGAAAGGCATCGTCATCAGCCATCCGCACTACTACAGTACGCATCTGGACTGGGCGGGGACATTTGAGTGTCCGGTATATATGGCGAAAGATGACGAGGAGTGGTTGAACCGTGAGGATCGTGTGGGATGTCGGAAGCTCCTCACGAGCACGTCGCAGGACATCATACCTGGTGTGACAGCAATCAAGACTGGTGGTCATTTTCCTGGTAGTCTTGTGTTGTTGTGGGAGGCCAAGTTGCTGATAGCAGACACTTTTGTGACGGTGCCAGTATGTCAATCTTCCCTTTCCAGAAGGATCATATGCTGACTACTCACTAGTCCGCAATGTATCACATAGATCGCCTGCCGGGCACGACCTCATATGCCTTCATGTGGGCAGTACCAAATATGATTCCGCTGAACCCTGCGGAGCTCCACAAGATGTGGCGAGCTATCTCATCTTTCGACTTTGAAAGCACGCATGGTGCGTTTGTTGGCCAGGAAGTGAGAGACAGGAATGTCAAGTCCAGAGTGCTTGAGAGTATGAAGATCCAGGCAAGAGCAATGGGTTGGTCGGATCATCCTTTGTTGAAGGAGACTGTATAGGAAGCGTAATTCATGCAACATATCTGTGTAACTTTTGTCGTGTAATATCGTCTGTCAAATTATGGCTGTGGTAGATTGCCAACGCCAGGCAGGACACCACCGAAGCCACCAGTAGAACCAAACCCACCAGCACCGCGGACCGTCTCCTCGAGCTGCTCGACAACTACAACATCAGGTGTGTAGATCCGCTCAATAATCAACTGCGCCACTCGCTCTCCTACCGCCACCTTGAAGTCGTTTTCCGATAAGTTGAAGAGCAGTACCTTCACCGGTCCTCGATAATCTGCGTCAATCACCCCAGCACCAACATCAATGCTGTGCTTGCTGGCCAGTCCACTTCTCGGTGCCACTCGGCCGTATGTGCCTGCCGGGACAGCGATGCTGATGTCGGTATCGACAAGCACTTTACCTCGGGCAGGTACGACGGCCTCCTTGGAAGCATAAACATCATAGCCAGCAGCAAAAGCAGAGCCTCGGGTTGGTGGCTTAGCTGTCTCGGCTAGTAGCTTGACCTGTAATGCTGGAGGCGCAGGTTCAAAAGACATAGGTGGCATTGATAGAAGAGGTTGTGTAGTCCCTGCCATTGTCGTGAAGGGGTCCGGTATGTTCTGTGGTGTCGGTGTTGGTTGTGAGTCGTTCAAGATTGCTGTTTACATTAGCCAATGCCTTCGATGTTTTGGTTGTAGAACGCACAAGCTACGGTCAGATTTGCAACTGGTTCGGTGTATTTTGTGCGTTTTGGAGCTGGCGATGCAGGGAGGCTCGGTATCTGATGATCCGGTGCTGGTGTACTTTCTGCCATGGTTGCTGTCAGGTGTAAAGTGATGTTCAGGCACACGCGTAAAGTGAATGCGCGCTAGTGACGCGCTGCTGCACTATAGTATTCTTACAGGGTGTTACTTAAGGTGGTAGGTTGAGCGGGGAATAAGGTTCGATCTACTATCTAATAGCATGAGAGAGAGCATTTCTGTCTGTGTTTATTCCAGTGATCATAGTGGCTGGTTTATGAGAGAAGAGCATTTCTGTCTGTGTTCATTCCAATTTCCAGTGATCATAGCGGCTGGTTTGTGGTAAGAAACGTTGCCATGAACAGAGCGTGAGATCACGTGGAATATGTCATTGGCTGCAACGACTCCACTGGATCCGCTCACTCTATGAATGGAACGATAGTCGAATGATGACGTGATGGTGCTACCGGCTAATCCAGTGCCCGTGAAGTCTCTGAGCGAGACATGACTCGTGGATTGCCGAAGTGACCGGGCTTGGCGACTGCACGGACCACCCACACGCAGATACTAATAATTCTCAAAGTTCCCTCTCCCTCCCTCTTTCTCTTTCAGCTCTGCAAGTCTTCCCTTTCCTACCCATATTGTTGAACATTCTTGCTAATACATCTGACAGCTTTGCCTTTTGGCTTAGATCAAGTGTAGTATCTGTTCTTATTAGTTTAATCACTAATACGACCTCATCGAGGTCTTTTACGATTAACCTTCTTTTTGGCACCCGTCTTCTGGCCGCTGGGGCTTGCTCCATGTTAGAGGCACCGTGTCGCTGGTATTGCACTACCTCCAGCCGACGCGAACATACCCTTTTTCATCAGTTAGTTTGGCATCTGCCTTGCTTCTGGAGAAGAATCCTCTCACTGCTTATCGACGAGTGGGCCGGAAGTACTCGGACCGCCACTCACTTCACGAAGCACGACTGAGCGCTCGCACCAGGGCAAAGAATTCTCTTCACTAGGACCTCTCCTCCTACACAGCTTGGACGGAACCCGTGCGAATACGGGTCTACACGCTGCTGAGGGAAAGGCAAACGTGAGTGATACGGCCGGCGTCATCGTGCTGCGAGTGAGCGCTCACCTACAGTTCCACGTACTCCACGACTGCCTGCACCGATTGCTGGCTTTGCCACGACCACACGACAGGTACAATGCTAGAAGAAGAACCTGGAGGCCCGTCAGGAAGGGAGCGCTTCGCCCTCATCTTGGCGCGCTCTGGCGTTGATAATGATGACATCCGCTTCGACCTCTGCTCCAACCATGTCCTCAATGGGAAGCATGGTCATTACTCGAACCGCGGTGGGGGCTAATGAATTACGTCTACGACCATTTCCACAAGAACGTACCTCAAGGCGAACAGGCAGTCATCTCCCAACACAAGGCCTCACGTAAGAGTCCAAACGCTGCTTCGCACGACTTTTCGCGCCTCCAACAACAAATTCGTGACGGACAAGCTAGGTTGTGCAAAAAGTCGCGGTCAGCTTACAAACGAGTACCACGAGAGCATGCAGTCGCCCAACTTGAATCCTCCTGTGCTTTTGGGAACATTGGCAAAGGCGAAAGACGGCGCACGAGCATCCGAGCCACGAGCAATGGATATCTACCTCCGCGCCACGGCCGATTGGAGAAGCTTGGGGCGAAGAAAAAGGACGGCATATTCTCGACCTAAGCGAAAGATGAAGGGAGCTATAGCCTGACTGAGTGACTTTGGCCGAAGTTTGAAGATCTTGCTAATCGCGCTGTGCCGTCGGCTTCACTTAACAGCAGCTGTCTAAGCCAGAGCCGACCTCTCAGATGCCCTCACAAGTCCCATCTATCTGGTCCGAAAGCGCGATGAGTCTCCCCGCTGCAAAGAGTTACCACTTTTCAATGAATCATGTTCAGCTGGAGCACGCAGAACCGCCGTGGCAGTATGATCTCGGCGCTAGCAGTAGATTATGAGGTAGTGGAGTTGTCATATGACGCCGAGAGCCGAAGAGATTATGTCGCATGGTGACTACCCATAAATACAAACACGGATATCAGGCCACTCAACCAGCGCTTGGGCAGTACATCAACAGACACCGAAGCGTTCACATGGGTCTACTCACAAATCAAATACTTCACAACCTCTCGTCACAATTCAAGCCGATTCACGCCCTCACGTCACTTCGCCTCCTGCGGCGGCGGCGCCCCACCCGTCGTCGGCAGACCCATGAACAACTTGAAAGAATCATAAATCAACCACTGCAAACCCGTCAACGTCCCAATCATAACAATGCGCACGGGTAACCCATTCCACAAACCCCCAAACCCAATATCCTTGTATATCCTCCCCACCGCGGCCCCAAACCCTTCTCCCTTGAGACGATTAGTATTGAGTTTACTCACCATCACGTCAGCTGGATGAGAGACGATGGCGCATAAGATACCAGCGAGGTAGCCGCCGGAGAACGCTACGCCGGTTTGGGCCAGGGTGGAGTAGTCGGATTTCTTGCCGGGGAGGCGGTGGTACATAATTTCGACTATCGTTTCGAAGGAGGCGAACTTCATCATTGTGTAAGGAATCTGGCGTCCCCAGAGGGGAACCAAGCCTTTGTAGAGGCTGGACACATCCCGTTAGCCAGCTGGCATTCCTGCTTAGTGCAGAAGTATGAGAAAGGAGTGGCGCCTACTCACCCCCCTAACCCCTCCGCAGCCGTAACCTTCCTAATCCCATCCAACGTCCCCGTAGCAAACGGCGGCATACTCGTCTGCATCCTTACCTTGACGGCCTCAAGCGGACAAAGCCCAATATCCGCGAAGAACTCGGCCGATGCCGAACCAGCCAGATAAACATACGTCTTATACTTATACGCGTTCTCCTCGCCGACCAAATCGGAATAGAATTTCTTGAAGAACTCGTACCCGCCATACTTTAGCGCTCCTTGGATAGAGTACCCGAAGAAGGTCGGGGAGCCGCCGGTGTAGATTCCTCGCCAGCCGTCCGAGGCGATGATTTTACGCCAGCCGTCTACGTTGCCCCGGTAGAGTTTGCTGTCTACTTGGCGGCGACACTTGACGAGATCCAGGGGTGTGACGGCCCAGTGGGTAATGCCACAGGCCATTAGGCCGCCGAAGGTGCAGCTTTTGTCATATCAGCTTGAATATCACGAACTATACCTTTTTTTGGTCTATTTGAGGGAGGCGAGGCGTACGTGGCATAGTACTTCGCGCTGTACAGCTCGATCTTGCCGACTTGAGCTTGAGCAGTCTTGCTTGCTTTCTCGACTTCTTTGGCTGCGGCATTGCTGAGCTGTTGGGCTTTGTTCTCGGCGTCCTCGACTACGCTCCAGGCGCCATAGAGTTCCTGGCGGGCTGTGTAGGGTGAGCGCTTCTTGGGTGGCGATTGGACGAGTTGGTATGGCGATACTGAGTTGAAGGCGGCGCTGAGCGCACTCGCTGTTGGGAAGAGGGAAGGCATTGTGATCAGTTATGGCAGCGTGAGGTATGGAGCTTATCTCCACTCTGGTATGAGCGCAGGTGTATCTATCGCGAATGCAATGATGAGGGTCAATGTGAGTTACCAGGGCAAGAGTGCAGCGCTTGGGAGCGCACCTAGTGAGCAGAGACGATTATTACAAGGTCGTGGTAACGAGGAAACGATGCAATGGCCGTCACTCTTTCGGTCGTCCTTCTCCTCCTCTCTCTCCCTCGCCTGTCAGCCCCATGCATGCGATCGACAGAGAAGCAGGTCGTCGGAGATATGGGCTGAGAGCTCGGACCAGTAATGACGCAAAGGCTTGCACAATCACAATCACAATCACATGCACGCCAAGGCTGGTTTAATGTTTTGCCAGCACTCAAGTTCACTCACAATAAGTCTTTTACGTCTCGTGGCTTCCTCATCAGGACGAAACCACTCGCAATGGCAACTCAGAATGGACCAGTCGGCAATGGAGAACTGCTAGCAACAGCGACCCCAAATCCATGGGCGGACAAATACCGTGGTGTATGTCCCGACCCTCTCCACGCCAATCGAACCGTACTGATAATCCTCCTCCTCAGGCAACAGTAGAAGACCTCGACCCACCCCCGGCCCTCTCCACCTCCCCCCACGCGCCCATAGCCTCCGCCCTAATGTCAGCCTTCGAACGCGACTACACCCACCTCACCGTCCTCCACCCCGAAGACAAATCCCTGCTCGGCTACATCAGCACCCCCCACCTCCGAAAACTGCTCGAAACACGCCAAGTGCGGGAAGAAGACACGGTGGAGAAAGCGATGGTGCGGTTCAAGCGGAAGGGGAAGAAGTATAGACTCATTACGCTAGAGACGGGATTGGAGGAACTGGAGAAGTTTTTCGAGGGCGGGGATACGGGGACGAAGCAGGATTTTGCGGTTGTGACTGATCCGGCGCGGAGGTTTGTGTTGGGGGTGGCGACGAAGAGTGATTTGGAGGAGTTTGTGAAGAGACGGCCGAATTGAAGAAGAAAGGAAACAAGCAGGACATGCACGGGTCGTGGTCGAGAAGGTATTGGAGGGATGGAGACTGCTTGTACGGCTATCGCTGCATCCTTACGCAAAAGCACCCACGAACGCCATCAACATGCTCCCGCAGATCACGGCACCACAAGCTTCTAGTCTCCTCCGACCATGCAAATCATGATAACTCTGATCGGACAAGAAGTCTTCCGCCAGTAGCTGCACGAGTCCCGCATACAAGAGGAGTCCCGAACTAATCGCATTCACGATCCCCACCATCAACAACCCAAACTGACTCGCCGGATCATAAAGCGTATGCACCGCCAACCCAATCGCCTGCCCAATGGGCGTCGTAACACCATACATGACCGACATGAGCCAGGGTTTCGGACTGGAAGTGGAGAAGGAGCTGATAGCCGCTATCCGTGATCCCAAGGCGAGACCCTCGAAAGTCTGATGGAAGGATATGGCGACGAGGAGGACGAGAAAGGCGGGGCCGGTGGAGACGGACAGGGCCATGCCGATGAAGACGGAGTGGAAGAGGATGCCGGCTTCGAGGAGGAGACATTGCAGGATCGCGCGTTGTTCGGCTGCGGTGGATGTGAGTGGGGATGGTGAGGGGGCGAAGGTGGGTGAGTCGGCGAAGGAGACGGAGCGGAAGGGGTGGTTTGGTCGGCCGTTGGCGATGGAGGGGCGCTTTTGTTTCGATGCTGAGCCATTGGCGCTGGTGAGAGGTTGTCGGTCCTCGTTCGCCATGGGATCGTAACTATCGAGGTCGAGATCCGAATCTTCATCCTCAGAAGGAGGTTCAGGTGGTAGTGGTTTATTTAGAGCCTCCAAATCTCGAGGGCTCCTCTGCTCCCGCAACGCCACATTCTCCCTCTCGTCATAGTCCTCGTACCTTTCCTGCTGCTGCTGCTGCTGCCGCTGCCCCAAAGAGCCTTGCTGAAACCTCCTAAAACTACTCGACCTCCTCCCCACCTCCGGCCTCCTACCCTTCTGCTGCCCCTCACCACTCCCCCTCAACTCCCCAAAATCCATCCCCCCATGACTATGCCTGGCCCCTTTACTCGCAAACACCATCTCAATCCCCACAACAACCATGACAGAAACCATAGCCACAAACCCACTCATTGCAGGATACACCTCGTTCCAAAACCGCGGCAGACATGGATCCGTCAAGCTCGTATACGCCGTCGGTAATAGATGCACGAATGCCGTGGCGAGCAGGACCCCTGTACCGAAGTGCCGGGACAGGAAGAGGGTGTAGGAGGGGATGGGCAGGGAGGGGAAGCGTCGGGCGAGGAGGGGAAAGGAGCAGGCAAGGGTGCTGAGAGTGAGGATTAGGAGGAGGGCGAGGATGTGGAGCGGGGTGTTGTAGGCGTGGGTGGTTTTGGCTGAGCCGCAGGGGGGGCGGGTGGAGTCGGCGGGCATCGTGGATGGAGAGGGTTGATGAGAATGGTGGGGTGTTATTGGGCCATGAATGGTGTGACAATGTATGAGGAGTGAGATTCACATGTGATGGATGGATCGGAGGAAAGTGGAGTTTAGGGATGTCTGGATTGGGCATGGCTTGGCTGCTTTCGTCATGCCAAGCATTCTTGGGCGCGCTCGTGGAGTTCACGCGACTTGTGCTTCAACAACCAACACGCGCCACCCCGTCGACCCCCTACGTCCATCAGATCGAGTGTTGACCCATCCACTGTTCCTCGCTCTCCCCTTTTGGAAACAACACGCACTGTGCCCTTGGTATCGACTCCTACTTGGATACTCTGCCACGTACTGGTAGCTGCTCGCTCCTCTTAATGGCTGGCTACTGGCAACATTTTCACTATAATGACCATCTCGTGCCTTGATCTTGACGCGACCTGAGCTTCAACCATGATCTCTTGCCATGATCCTCATACTGCCAAGCTACTAGCTGTCAGTCACCATGGCAGATTGCAGATCCTTGGATAACAAGGCCCACCCATGTCTCGTCACGGGGTTGCTCTTTTCTTTCCTGAGAAACCCTCCACTTGTACACCAGTGCCTTCATCGATCTCTGTCCCGTCTACGAGCTGGCTTGCCTTGGTGATTTTTGGAAGCACAGTGACCCTGCCGGCCGTCTGCACACTCAGCTCTATAGCTTATTTGGACCACGGCTGCAGGTCGAGACAATGGTGGGACTAATATCAGTGCAAGCATGCATGATGCAACAAGCCACCATTGCTGGACCACAGCGAGATATGACTCAAGATTTGCTGAAATTGGTTGTGCTCTGCAGTCACTACCGAGCCTGCACATTGATTTTTGTGCACATCGCGCGGTCGTGTTCTCCCTGCTTCTTCTGAGTCGCTAGAGCATTTCAATGGCCCTATATACTTCATTGACTCTGTGGTATAGATTTAGCAATAAGGCGAGGGTACGCTTCTATCCGTGTCTTACTGTCTCGCACGCACACACACACACACACACCTTACTAAGTCTATACTTTGCATACTTGCGCATTCTATATTCTAGCCCGGGCATCGGAGCGCTTCTCTCAAGATCCACCCTCCCACGGCATTCACCATAGATCCCTGACTTGCCTCTTGGCTTTGATCAGGGACAGGCACAGAATGCCCCTTTCGACTACATGGACAGTCCGCCGTTTGACCAACAGCTACAGATGCCTGGTGCTATATTACCAGAGCAGACACAGCAAGCTATAGCTCCCATGCAAGCGTTTCCCTCCGACCAGCAGCCGCGAGTCCAGCAGAGCTTCAAACAAAGTGGTCTTTGTTGGGCGAAGAGCAGTCAGGACCCGACGCAGCCTGTGTAGATACAGCCACAAGTTCAGTATGCGCCGTTACAGTATTACCGGCCTACAGCACATGCAGCTTCGACCCAGAACCCGCCGGTAGCCTGTGCACAGGCACCACGGACCTCCGGCCATCTCAAGACACCACCACCTCCCGTCCCAACCCTTTCCTCGGCTGGTCCACAGTCTGTGACAACAACGACAACCACAAGCATGCAGCAGCAAACGGCATACGGAAGCAGCGCACCATACCAACAAGCTGCTGCGCAAGGTTCTGTAGCCTTGCAGCAGTACGAGTCTCGCGTTCAGCAGATCTTGCGCATGTCGGACTAAACCTGTCCCGCACGGCTACGCTGGTATCAGATCCCAGGCGGATGGCTATGTGGTGGAGGGAGCCACTTCATCTTGCAGAGTGACGTGGACGACATCATCCAAGGTAGCAGCCACGCCAGCATGCCAAAGATAATTCCGGTATCCTGCAGAATGGTCGATCGATTTGACAGAGAGCACGAAGTATTTTCGGCCGCGCATCCCCCGAATGAAGCCTTCCACGGGGGAATGCATGACGCGCATCGAGGGCATATGGAAGCGCTCGCCCGGAAGGACCATCTCATGGTCTCAAGACAGGGCGGAAGGAACGACCCGATAGCGTCCGAAATACAGCCAGCAGATGCTTATACTTGCGCTCGCCAGCTAGATCTCGAAGTTACCGATTCGAGGCGATTGGTAAGGCCGACTGCTAGGCCATCGTATGGCGGAGCAGGAATATACACGGTAAAGATGGCGCTAGGCAGTCGAGGCCGACGAATGCGAGGGTTCGTGGCAGGCGTAACCACTTGCATGTAATTCTACACTTTCGTCATGATTCCGGTCCCTGACCGCAGTACTCTCGTGGCGGCTGTCGCTACAGTGCATGCCACAACCAGGCAAGCACACCATAATTGCAAGCTTGTCCATCCTGAATGGTCATAGATCAATCCACCCAGCGGACTACCCAGCAACAGCCCTGTCGACGAGAACAGACTGCCCATGCCGACCCAAGTTCCAACGATGTTTGGCTGTGGCGCCAGAGATGCAAGGACAGCAGGTTGCAGGGCAGCGGCGCAGCCAGAGAAGAATCCATAGAAGATGGTAAAGACCACTATACCGCCGATACTCTTGCATGCGATCCAGATGAAGCCGCAAAGGGCGGCGCCGAAGGTGCAGGTCAAGTAGGTATTCAGCAGCCCTATCTCATCGGCAATGAAGCCTGGGACGATACGGCCGATTACACTTCCAGCGTTGAGGATAGCGAGAGTGGATGAGGCGAGGTCGGGCATCGTTTTCATGCCATGTGCCAGGGCGTATTCTGTGGTGCAATCGATTAGCAATTGATATGGTGTCGAACACGACGATCAGCTCCGTAAGGAGACAAGATGTACCTTGGATGTAGAAGAATGGTATGTACAAGCCAAGGAAACCCGTGAACGATGCCACGGCGAAGACATTGAATGGTGCATTGCGGAAAGCGTCAGCGTCGAACATCTTTCGTGGCTTGGGTAGCTTGTGTGGTCGAAGCAAAACCGCTGAGATGGTCAAAGGTACCCAGCATGATGAAAGCAACAGTTCTTGTCGCCCAGCCAGCGCTGACGGATGGCTGCATTGTGCGAAAGATCTCGCTATAAATGATGGCGCCTATATACAATGTCAGCCAAATCACATGTCAACTCAAGCTACCTCAGTCTAACCAATACTTCCTCCGCTCTGTGCTAGACCGAGTGCCATCCAACGATGTCGTTTGAACGTCAAGGCCAGCTGGCCAACAGCAACGATGAAGAGACAACCATGGCCCAAACCTACGCATACGCCTTGGCACAACATGAGCTGCCAGTAGTCTGTTGCAATACTCGTCATCATCATGCCAAAGACATCGAGGAGCAGGCCGCCGCATGTGAGAGCACGAGCATAGCCTCTGTCGAACAAGGGACCCGTAATGATCAACGTCCCAAGAATGAGGAAGCCTTGTAGCGAACCGATCCAAGAAATCTGGCTATTCGTACGTCTTAAGATGTCCGTACTGACATAGTAGGTCTGGTAGGCGCCATAAGTATTGAGTACCGCCCACGTATTGAAAGTGAGGAAGAAGGCAACAACGATCTGTGATAATGCCGCCCAATTCGTCTCAGAAGTGTCTTTTTGAACCCCAGCAGTCTGACTCTCAATCTCCTCTTCCTGCTTTGAGCCAACAGCAGGTGCCTCTGTCAGGTCGTGATCTGGAGTCGACTTGAAAGAGGCGCGGTCGATCGTGCTGTCCTTATCGTCCTCGGAATATCTTATGGTCATCTTGTATAATTGTCTAGTGTGAGGTTCCAGCAAGAAGGATGTACGATGCAGGTGTCATGAGAGATTATTACTGTTCAATGCTACGATACAGCCCACGGGAGGAGAAAGAGCAGTTTATGATGATATCTCACCGTTCTTGATCGATGACCTGTTAGCGTCCATCGCCAGCATAACGTGGGTCGTGAATGTCCACCTCGTATCGTCCAAGCAGGCAAAGATGGCATGCTTCGAGGCCATTGAATTGAAATATGCGTGAACCAGCGGCTAAAGGAGCCTCGAAAGCCAGTCAGCATTCTACCATGCGACGCTGATATGAGAGCACTTCATGCAGGGAGTCGATGACCATGCTGCACATATGTACTAGAGGGTGGATCGTGAGGCATAAAACAGGCCGATCATCGTATGCAAAGACCTGTATAAGGATACGAAAACTTAATGCTGCTGATCTTAGCTTGCTTCTCCAACGGAGGTCGTTGTTGAGGATCCACATAATTGTAGCAATAGCTTTTAGAGTGGCTTGATTGTTGGTGCCATGACCGACGATATTAGTGCATAATCGACGTGGCCCAGCAATGTGTAACTACTGGCCGATACATGCCGTTCAGAAGTCTATCACCAAGTGGAATAACAGCCAGGCGGACCATGGTTCACCGCGGTTCGAAGTAGCGATGTGAGGCCCGGAGATCGTGCAATATAAGCGTCTCGGAACGCGCGATGGGGCGCGGGAGCGGGCCATTGCGAGGTCTCACTGGCCAGATATCTGGATCTGCCATTAGCAGTAAAGCATATCTCGCTCTGCTTTGCCTGTTATTTAACTTGTTTCCAGTCTCTTTTAACTGAAGTACGCGAATGATGGATTGCGGTCCAGCTCGAGCATCAAGGCGTTCCGGCTTATTTCTTGGCGATGATGTGTTCAGCGTACTCACGGTCTTAGATTCGAAGGCACCGGATTGTCCAGGCTCCTGGCTAGGTGGTGGCATCTCACCTCAAGAAGAGCAAATGGCGGTTTTGAGCGGCATGCCCTCGGATCAGAGAACGTTTGAGCATGCAAAGGAGTGGGTCGCCATAGCTGCGACGTGGAGCTTGCTGCTGCTGATGTACGTAAGTGTGTTTGCCTTGGTCGGTATGCTGCAGACTTAGTTCAGTGTTTGAATGCATCGAGCAGGCCTTAGAAGCTGTTGGAATTCTAACACGTATCTTCCTCTCCGCCAGCGTAGCCCGTTGGCATGCTCGCTACATAATGGCATACAGTTCATGGCGTGTCTTGCTGCAAATTCTTAGACCTAGGTGGCTAGATTGGTTGTGAACTGTATGGAGTGCAGACCATGATTCTCGGTGATCTTACACTGTGTGTGGCGATCAGTCAATTGCCTTTTGCCCAGCGGTCAATCCAGCGCCGGCCCATAGCGGTGGATGATTGCAGCGACGAATAGCTACGACTGCGAAAGGCAACGGCTAGGGTAGAACATGATGCCAGCCAAAATCGAGTTCATAACATCAATGGACTGAACACTTTCTCAGGCTCGGTCTCACATTCCTTCCTTCCCCTTCGTACAGATTTCGCTTAGGGAGGTCATCAGCAACGTCGGTCACCCTCTAATTGGAGGCTTTCGGGAGTTTGAGGACCTGACGGATAGCATCGAGCACCTCACGAAATGCATGACATGTCTCCCAGGACTTGAGGAGCCCACAAGCCGCAGTAGTAAGGACACATGCGATCTCGACTCGAGTCCACTGTCGACAGCTTGTTCTCAAGCATGGATCCAGGGGCGAGCTCCACTTTACAGTAAGAGGACGAAGATTCGATGATTCTATTACATTAGCTGATCAACTTGTTCCTGCCTCTTATCAGAAAATGGGGCAGAAGTGCTCAGTCTCCAAGTTGATTGTGCGATGTTTGAAATGAAAATCTCTGTCGCAGAGGACCAGAAAGCCAAGCGCTAAGGGACTATTTGGATAGGCCCAGATCTCCGGGCGCTGGTGAGAGAGTTGTTCGCATCAACGGTGTGATAATACCACACTACCTCGCCAAGCTGATTGAATTGGTGGGTACGGTCACTGGTCCGGGACCGAGTGGTGTGCTGAAGTTTTGCCCACCAGCTAACGACCTGGAAGCTGGCAATAGCCGTCCTACCAGAAGTTCACCGCGATGCGGACATGCAATTCGTGAACGAGGTCATCGGCCACACTCGAAATAACACCGTTCCGGCTGATTGCCATTGATGGAGTCGACACAAAGCATCGTCAAAATCAAGGAGGTCCGCCAGGGTGACTATATCTCTCCGGCTTGATCTTCACCACCGAAGAGTACGGGCGTAATGTACTCAGTCCCCGACAGAGAGTGATCTGGAGCCCTCGCATGCTCAGTCGACCGTAATAGCACATGCTCACGCATTTGAAATACCCTCCATCATCGACATGGCATGTACAGCATTTGAGTCAGTTGAAGGACGAGCGGTCCTCAAAACACAAGTCCTGGCAGGCCGGAACCTATGCTCCACAGGCAAGTAATGTCTACGACCGGCCCAAATCAAAACGGTCCAGAACGGGGTGGCACCTACCGAGGAGGAGCTCACATGGGCTTTTCGTGTGTTAACAGTACTGGGAGAAAATCCGAGAGGCATAGTCTCTAAACGGCAAAGTCGTTAGTGTTGCCCCAGTGGCAGGCGTCAAGATTCTCAAGCAGGAGGTCGAGGATTCCGGGGTGGATGAATACTACTGATCTGGAGCGAACCTAGGTACATCAGGACCTAGAGCAGGTCACACTCTCTCGAGTCTGTATACCGAGCAATTCCAGAATAGTTCGTGGTGGTATTTGCCGATGTGTCGGCTTGGTGTCAGCAAAGCCATGGTACATCTAGCCCGACTGCGTTTCAAGCTTCGGGTTCTGTCTCCATGCTGCTCCCGATGGTAATGTCTCATTGCTGCTCCCGTTGGTCGATGAAGGAATATCAATGTCCATGGAGGACATCAAGCTCCCGTGATTGCCGCGGGTTTATGGTGCAGGTCGCTGCCATCAGTCTTCTCATTGCGTAATGCTCCATTTCCACCTTGGATCTCGTTTTGACGCCACAAACAATGCTGCACTGAGTACTGAGTTCTTGTATCTCCTTCGACCAGACTCATGTGAAGTTGTATTGCCAAACCACGAGTCTGTCAGCCAATCGGCTCTCGGGTAGAGCTTATCGGGCTTAGAGATGAATGGTGAACTCTGTTCACCGGCGTCCTTGGCCGACATCACCTTCCTTGATAAACAAGCAAAGCATCCTATTGCGAGCTCGACAGGCTGTTCGAGTATTGCTTGGTCGACACTAGCAGGTGAGCGTGTTCGTTGAGCTAGATGATGCCAGGGCGGATTATGTGAGATCCTGCGGCCTTACGAGCCTTCTCTGCGTCATCTTGCGACTGCCATAGATTTTTGGCTTTGCTGTAGGTATCTTTCACGTTCCTCAGATCACATTTACCATTAGCACTCGAAGCAAGCATCGAGACCAGGCATTCACTCGCAGCTTCACAGCTTCGAACATGCCTGAGCAACTCCACTCTACCGGCCGTGGTGGTGAGTCGTAACCGCACTGAGATGACCGACATGGAGGCTGATCACAGCTTGCCAGGCGCCGGGAACATTGGCGAGGACACGACTCAGTATGTCGACGGAGGTATCACGCGCGAAGGTGTACTGGGAGAGTCGTCCCGAGGCGAGTACAGCGCAGGGCGCGGCGGAGCTGGCAACATGATCGAGTCTCCAAGAACCGGCACACCTGTCGCACATTCTCAGGATGTAGTGACTGAGCCCTCCATGAGGACGGCAGAAGGGCATGAGAACTTCCACACCGGTCGAGGTGGAGGCGGTAACGTGCACAAAGACAAATATGGTGGACACAGCCATGCGCAGGGCGGCGAGCAGAGCAATATTGTGGACAAGGCTAAACATGCCCTTGGTATGGATAAGAAGAAGGAGCATGAGCACACGACGACAACACAATGATTGGTGAATGTACGTTTTGTAGCGATCGACGAAATTCTAATATACATATGCCGTACATCGAACAACACAATAACCGACACAAACATAATAACCTTCAGAAACGTAACAGGGAGACAGGGGCATGAAGGACACTGACATGATTGAACTAGAAAGCACTGCTTGGAGAGGCATACACATCAAGACCCTTTCCACGCAGCAAGCGTTTCACAAAAGCAGTAGGCTCCATCCACCACGCTCAAGGCCATATTGCCCGCACCACTCGCTGCTCGATCAACCCATCACGACCGAGCACCCGACTCATGCCGTCATCAAACGCAATGCCGGTTTCAGCATGTGTCACATACCACGGATCATTGACTCTGCCCTGGCCACTCCACCACTCATTCCTAGCCAAAGCTATTGCATAGCTCATGGGACTCCAGATTGGTCCTACAAACACGCTGCTCCTCCTCAGCACTTCGTAGTCGACCAGCTTCTGTTGTCGCGGAGTCAAGCTTTTCAGCGTGTTGACGTCGCTGTCCGTGAGGACACTGAACTTGGTGATGGCAATGATTGGCGGAGATAGGTATGCAGCTTTCTGCTTGAGCCTGGCCAACTCTGTGACATTCTCGGAGGCCGTGTAAACGACATGAGAATTGTGTTGTGCGGCATATGCGAGCAGAGCATCGGCCTGCGCCGAGAATCCTGAATATGCTTCACCGTTCTTCGAGCTCTCGGCATCGTAGTCGAAGGTGTGTAGATATGCACCGACAAATGCCTGCGAAGGTATGACCTCTCTCGCGTTGATCTTGAGCCACGGATACATCGCAGCGCTTGCTTTTACGACCGTAGCAGCAAGTCTGCGGACATCCTCGTTGCTACGCAAGAGCTGACCAAAGTTGCGCCTGAAGTTGCTCGGTGTGCTCGAGTATCCACTGACCATAGACTTCGCTCCAAGCTGACCAATGTCGCCCGTCCTCCACTCGTTGTGTTGACGCCCTCCTTGAGCCAAGCATCTAGGTCGTGCAAAAAATCGTCCTTTGTATTGCCCTTGCCAATATCTATTCTGCGACTGTATGGCGTATACGTTCTCGGTAGCGACACCATATCCTCCATCTCCGCTCCTGGCGTATAAACCGTCATCTGCGGGCAAGCTTGTCCAATAGCTTCCAAAAACCATGTCCGATCGAACAACATCCCAAAGTCCGGCAACTCGACAGCCTTTCCTTCCTCATTGAAACCCGCTCGCTCCTCAGCGTACGGGAGGACGATCGATGCGCTAGCCTCGATAGCATAGAAGATGAAGTCGAGGACACTGCTTCGTAGTTCTGCCACATCACCTCGTGGGCCGCCTTCGAGATTGAATATCAGATCTGATCGCCATGTTGACCGTTTACAGTGTGCTGCGATTGGCGAAGGATCAAACGGCTGGATGAGATCTCTGTCCAGCCAGTCCTGGATGAAGGTGAGAAAGCTACCACCCATTCCGCCGCCGTAGGGATGACGGATGCGATATTGGTACGAACCAAAATATAACGGCGCCAAGGTCACAACAAGCGCCACGGCGTAGAAAGCGGGCGGCTTGTTGGTGAGCTGTTTGACATACATCGTGGCATATCCTCAAGAGAACTCGACATGGTCTCAAGGAACGATGAAGTGGTAGTGAGGTCGTCCAATGCCTTGCATGAGAGCCTACATTCCAGCCACTCGACAACCTACATTGAGCCAGACCAGTAGCATTAATTCCATTCATTACTCATCTATCGTACAATAAGCACTTAGCCCGTCCTTCGATTCATCTCACCCGGTCCTCTAGATACCGAAGGCGCAGGCGTGGTGAGATGGCTTCGATGCTCACCCGCCGTAGCAGCAAGACTATCCATATCCGTATCGCCAGACTCGTCGCGCCTCAGCGAAGCTACGGGAGCAGCTCTACCACCAAACTTTTCCATATTCTCGGTCGTCAAAGGATGGCCAGTATCAGACCCACCATGAGACTTCCCAGTCTTGGTCTTTGGATCCTCGCCAGCCTCGAGCAAAACGTCATCTCGTAACGTAATGGCTTTCTCTTCTGCTTTCTGCCGCCGGATGGCAATATCGTCCGGTGCTTCCGAGGATCGCGCAAGAGCATTGCGGTGGTATGTTTCCAGTCGATCTAGCTCGGAAGTCAGCTGGTCCTGTGGTGATACCGTCGAGCCTTCGGACATGAAAGACGATTTGTTCCTGTTGGGCGTGGGACGTTTGATCTTCGGATCGCCCGGTCCCATTACATTCGAAGCAGCAGCTTCGGCTCGTTTTCGCTTGCCTTCTATGGCCCACTTCACGAGCATGCGCTCCAGGTTCGGCTTCTTGACCGGCTTGGCGAGGTAGTCATCCATGCCAGCGATCTGACATTTCTCCCGATCTCCTTGGATCGCAGATGCTGTCATTGCTATGATTGGCGTGTTACGTATCGCAGGCTGTGCCACGAAATGATGCCCATTGCGGATCGTGTACGTCGCTCTGTACCCATCCAAGATGGGCATTTGAACGTCCATAAGGATAATGTCGGGCCGTGGATACTCGGCGGATGCAGGCTCTTGAAGATACTGGAGGCATTCTGCTCCATTCCAGACAGCCTTGACGGGAAAGCCAAGCTTAGCCACAGTCTTGAGAGCAATTTGCTGATTGATGGGGTTGTCCTCCACGACCAAGACCTGACAATTCTTGCGGTCCTGGGCGTTCAATTCTGGTAAGGGCTCATCTACTGGCCAAGGAGACAAGCCGCTCATGTAGGCAGATGTCGAGCCATCACGTCGACCCAATGACTTACCAGGTGTAGTCGGCGTAGGTGGTCCAGTCTCGGAGGCAGGGCGCGAGACAGAGACCTCGGATGCCAGCCGATCGGGTATCGAGCCCAGAGGAACTGGTCCACCACTTTGATACGGTGTTTTATTGAACCGAATCCAGAACGTTGCGGTCGTGCCAACACCAAGTCTCGACTCTAGGTTGATCTTACCTTGCATCAGCTCCACCAGGTTTTTGCTGATGGTGAGACCTAACCCGGTACCGCCGAATCGTCTTGCGGTCGAGCTGTCTGCTTGTGAGAAAGGCTTGAAGAGTCGCTTCCTAACCTCCTCCTCAATGCCTATGCCTGTATCACAGACCGTGAAATGTACTTCGACCGCGTCATCCGTTTCCTTTTGCACTCTCACACGCATGGTAACGCTGCCCTCAGAAGTGAACTTGATCGAGTTCGTGAGCAGATTCGTCATGACCTGCCGTAGCCGCCCAGGATCGCCCATGACTTTCCACGAAGTCATCTCTTGTATGTCCGCAATATACTGCAGACCCTTGCGTTCTGCAGCGAAGCTCAACATCTTGTTGACATCTCTAATGACCACAGCCAAGTCGAACTGCACTTCTTCGATATCAAGCCGTCCGCTTTCGACTTTTGAGAAATCCAGGATGTCGTTGATCACCGTAAGCAGCCCATTGGCACTACGCTGGATATTCTCAGCACACTCTCGCTGCTCCTTTGTCAACCCACCACCCTCATCATCCAGTAGCAGCTCAGACATTCCAATAACACCAGCAATAGGCGTACGAATCTCATGAGACATATTTGCCAAGAACTGACTCTTCATCTTACTCGCCTCCTTCGCCGCCACGCTCTGCGCCATCAGCCTGGAGTTCTCCTGGTCTCGCTCCTTGAGTGCTTCGTGAGCTTGCTTCATATCTGTGACGTCCAGACTGACGCCGACCACGCCGTCAATGAACGCCTCGCCTTGGAGATCACCTTTCCGCTCATTCTTTATTAGCGGGAACAACCGCGTGTTGAACCATGTATCGGTCGATGCAATCGGAACTTCGATCGTGCGATCAGGGACACGACCATGCATGACGTCGTCAATGGCAGCCATGTACGGTGCCATTTCATTCTGCCGCCCTTGCTCAATGAAGATATCCTTTAGATCCATCCCGTGGAAATGCGTCTTGGGCACACCAGCGGCAGGCTCGTACATCGACCGGCCTTCATACAAAGTGAGCTTGGTCTCGGTATTGACAGCCCATAGTGTGATCCGTGCGTGCTCGATAACCCGTTCCAGACTCTCTCGCATCTGATGAGCTTGCTCGCGCATGATAACTTGCTCGTCAATATCGGTGCACGTGCCGAACCACTTCACGATCTTGCCCTCCTCGTCCCTCATCGGGACAGCACGGCCCAACATCCACCGCCATTCTCCTTGCGCACTCATGCAGCGGTATTCAGTCCGATACTCGTCTCCAGTAGCCAGACTATGCGCCCACCGCGGCTTCGCCACTTCCAGATCATCAGGATGGAAAGCATTCAGCCAACCCAGGCCATGGCTCTGCTCCTCTGTCAATCCAGTATATGAGTACCACCGGTCGCTGTAATAATCGTGGTTCCCTTCCTCATCCGTACGCCAGATCATCTGAGGTATCATATTACAAATATCCTCAAACTGTTCTTCATTCACTTTCTGCTGTCGTTTTATGGTCGTTGTGAACTCCGTGACATCATGGAAAAGAACCAGACCACCCAGAAACTCGCCTTTCTCATCTAGCATGGCTTGCCCAGAGACATCGAATAGTAGACGGCTGCCGTCTTTAGCACTGTACATGCCAACTCGATAATGCTCAAAGCTCTGCTGCTCTCGCATAAGCTTCATGATAGGGAAGTCCTCAAGTGGTATCTCATCCGAAAAGTCCTCTTTGTAAAGCACGTATCTGGACAGAAAGTCGCGCGCTTGCTCATTGCTGTCAAATTGGCCATCTTCTAGCCACGGGTATATCAGCTTGATGGCTGCTTTGTTAGGTAGACCAAAGCTTTCGTCTTTCCATAGCGCATACGCTGGTATGGACATGGAGTTGAGAATGGCGTCTTTCAGCCTGTTGGTCTTGCTGAAGACTGACGGAGCAGACGCTGAGGTGGTCTTCGAAGGCGGTCCTCGAGGCGGGTAATCCAGAAGCGGCTTCGAGTGCGGACTGGCGAGCGCTGAGTGTGTAGTGGGAGTAGTGCTTGTGCTTTGCGACTTCCGTTGGCCAGAAGAGCCGGAGCTCGAGTTTGAATCCAAGCCTGATGCGATAGATTGTGCTGTGAACGAGGTAGGCGTTCTGGCGACAGTACGAGAAGTTGTCCTGGGTGCGTTTAGCTGTGGCTGTTCCGTATGCGCAGCGGTGAATGTAAGAGTAAAATATTGCTCGTCCTCGGTCGCCCACACAGACACTATCATGGTAGCCTGCACGTGACACGAAACATCGTGTCGGCTTGTCTGTGGCAAGCCAGTGGTGGGATCGCGATCAGTAGAGAAGACGACGTCGATGATGGCGTCGTGTACTTCAGTCCGAGACGCGCCAGACTGACTCATACGTGTGGATGAGGCTCGCGACGAGGGTCGTCTACGTTCGAGAGGCTCCCTGTCCCTGCCTTTACGCTTGTGATGGGTGTTGAGTTGAGTACTACTGGTCTGTGCCCTCGAGGCATCGTCGACAATGGATTCGAGAGTATCCTCCCATGCCATAAAGACAGCATTACCGTTCTGTAGCATATCCACCCCGAGCTGTGCCAACGTAGTCCCGTATAGCACGTCTGTCGCACTCCTGATTTCCATAGTAGCAGTGCGCGCCAAGCTTTCCACTTCAGTCTCCTCGTCCGCAGCCTCCTCGCTCAACGCATTGATCTCAACCCCGAACAGGCGACCCATGGCCTCATTAGCCAGGACAACAGTCTTGGCGCTGGACAGAACTAAGACTGGCATGGGCAAATATTGCAAGGCAGTGAAGGCCATATCCGTCTTCATCTGGGATGGCGGTATCTTGATAGACAGTCCACCCCAGGTAGGGGATATACCACTTTGTACACTGCCATTGCGCCCGTCGGCAGAAAAGTAATCGTCGGCTTCGAGCTCATCTTGTGTTCTCTCACCTATCCTCTTTGCCGTGGCGAAATCTTCGAATGAAACCCTACCCCTCGACATCCCTACAGGATCCTCCATGTTGACGGTGCTCTTCCTCCTGCTTCCGCTATCGCGAAGGCCACCGCCCTGATCTCCGTATCTGAATTTCTGCGCTCATCAGTCCAGTGCAGCCGGCTATGCAAGGTGTGTGAAATGGGGCCGGAGTGTGTAAGGGTGGTCCTGAAGGAAGTTGGGCACAAGTCCACAGAATATCACGAGATCAACAATGAGACACTCTACATTACCCCCCACCGCTCATGTTTGTGAGCAGTCGAACAAAGCGCGGATTGATGTCGCTTCGGCTTCTCGACCCAGTGATGATTAAGGTTCAACGGTGCACACAAAAAAGAGAGGGATGGACAGCACGATCTTGTGATGGGCTGTACGTTTGCTTGTGGATCTGTATGGAGGCCTCGCACTGCGCGCATCGCTGCGACTCGAGGGCTGCGCATTTGCATTGCCAAATCGCTCGCTCTTCTTTCCTCACAAAGCAGATGGTGTCGAAATCCAAACACTTTGGAGATGCACATCAGCGATGACGCCCGATCGCGCGCCTTCGGTAGTTCTAGCCCTAGCTCCCGTACCACATCCGAGGTTTACGAGCAGAGAATACGGTGGTAGAGTACTGGCAGAGCCTCATCAAGTCATCGAGCGCCAACAGTCTCGATTGACGGGGTGGCTTCGTGGTCATCTTTGATAGTCGTCGCATTCACAGCGATGTCAAAGTCACGAGCAGGTGGTCCGTCTGCTGACTGTAATATTAATCCGAGTTGTGTTGCTTGGTAAGAGCATCTGCTAGAGCGTTTCCAAAATCTTCTATTCCAGGCACAAACATCCTACGTGGCTGCGCTGCAAAACGCCACACCAACAACATCTCCTACTGTACACCACCTGAGACAAGACAGTCCTATCACTCTCTGTATTATTGCTGACTTTGAAGCACTAACCCACCAGACATACACCACGTCGCCTGACAACGGCAACCCTGGACCTCGAAAGCGATGCTGTTATAGCAGGTAAAGAACTCTGTCTCTCCCGTACTGGGAAAGCGCTCCTTGGCTCCTTCCCCTGCATAAAGTGCACACTCTGACAGGACCATCCCATCTTGCCACTCCATTGACCACATCCCAGCATAGTGCACAATGGTCGAACCCTCGTATACTGGACGCAATCGAACGTCTGCTAAGGGCGGCCCAAGTGGCGTGCAACGGTCATATGCATCAGAGTTCAGGGAGACAGAAGCACTCTTCAACAGTTACGAGCACCTTCAAGGACTTCAACGCGGTGATGCTGCCCTCAAGATGTTGCGCCAAGTCGCGTCACTTGTCAAGCCCATCATGCGGAAACGAGGTTGGAAGGTGCAAATCCTGGCCGAATTCCTGCCTGCCGAACAGAATCTACTAGGCCTCAATATCAATCGAGGGTACAAGATCTGCATACGTCTGCGCTATCACAACAATCCTGATCTGTTTCTGCCAATTGAGCAAGTCGTCGATACGATGCTTCACGAATTGTCGCACAACGTATGGGGCGAGCACGACAGTAATTTCCATCGATTGTGGGATGAACTACGCGACGAGCACGAGACTCTCATTCGCAAAGGCTATACAGGTGAAGGCTTCCTGTCAGAAGGTCACAAAGTGGGAGGTGTCGGCCGGCATGGCATACCGCCACCGCATGAGATGCGCCAACTCGCCAGAGCAAGCGCAGAGAAACGACAGTCACGCGGCACGCTCAGCAAAGGGTCTGGCCAACGGCTGGGTGGGACTCCACTGCATGCACATGGTGGCGACGTACGGTCTGTGATCGCCAGCTCCGTCTTGCGGCGGAACACGGTTGACAGGGGTTGCGCGTCAGGGCGACAGGATGCTACGGCGCTTGCTGATCAATCTGCCAACAGCACATTCAAAACAAAGGCTGAAGAAGACGATGCCAATAATCGAGCGATAGCGCAAGCGCTGTTCGAACTGATGGAGCAGGAAGAAGAGCGCAACATTAGGAACGGCACCTTTTCTACTGCTCCCACAGGAGGCGGGCTTGCTTGGGACCCGAAGAATGGACTGTACGATCCTAGCAAGGCCAAGCCATCGCCAGTCAGTCCACAGCAACCCAGTGAGGAAGAGCAGCTCAAGTGGGCCATGGAGGCAAGTCTGGCATCCGAGCAGCATGATCTCGGTCCAACTCATGGCATGTCACCTGTGTCGCCACTATCGCCTGTGCATCCGGCTCGGCCAATATCGCTGAACGAAATCGCGGACACACCGGCCTCTTCAGTGCGCTCTGCCAGGTCAGCCACGAGAGCTTCTCACGAGGCATTCGTAATCAAGATCGAAGACGATGACGACGACGTGGCCGAACCAGCTGTGCGAGACATTACTAACAGACCTGTATCACGGCCAACTCGAGCTCCCTTAGCGGCAGTGCGAGACATACCACCACGTCAACAGACCTTGCGGTCACCCGTCGCGATCGACATATCCGAGCCCTTCAACCCAGATGAATGGACATGCGATACCTGCACCTGTATTAATCCGATGCAATTTCTGGCTTGCGACGCATGCGGTAGTGAGCGGCCACAAGGAGCTCTTCCGGCTTCTGCAGTCACGACCGTTTCCAGAAGTGGTGATGGTGTGAGCCATACGAATAGAAGTGCTGCGACGAGCACTCCTCGCTGGACGGTTCCGAGAGCTGCTCAGGACCAGAGTCTTGGATGGAACTGTGCGAGGTGTGGGTCCTGGCATGAGCATAAGTGGTGGACTTGTTCGGCTTGTGGGTTGATGAAGAGTGCTAGCTGAGCATGGTGTTTGCACATCGTTCTGTGTCAACCTGGAGAACCAATAAGTATCACCGATTTAAGCCACGTCGTACCTCCGAGCTGGACGCTACGACGGTCGCACTTACGGCAGATGCAAAAATCATGCACAATCTCGACACACCGAAAGTTCATCAAGCCTCAGATGAAGAGCTTACGCAGTACGCCTGCATTAGTCAAGGCAAAGTTACACAATATAGTACAAGCAGTTTGAAGCAGCTAGGAGGGACAACCACTTCACTTCTTGCGCGCAACCGCTCTCAATCTAGTATATCCCAACCACTTCGACCCGTCCTCTTCTCTCGTAACGATCGACTCGACGATATCACTGACCTCCCTCAACACTGCTTCTCTCTTTCCCTCCTCCACCGCCTCCAAGAACTTTGCGCCCATCAATCTCAACCACCCCATCACACCACCACTCCCATCTGCGTTGTCAGGATTACACTTCGTAGGTCTATACTCCAGCTCGCACTTCTCGACCTCAAACCCGATATCCGTCAACGTCTTGGTCATCCAGTCCGGACCAGGAAAAAACCAAGGACAAGCTTCTCGTGCTTGCTGGACCGACAAACCCGCATGTATCAGTGCCGCCGTAAACGCCGCATGGACTTCAGCAACATTTCCCGCCCCACCCTGTTCAAAAATAAGTCTACCACCCTTCTTCAGCGCCTTATGGGCATTCTCAAACACCCCTACCCTCGTCTCCGGGTTTCGTAAGATCCAGTGCAAAGCAGCATTACTAAACACCTTATCCCAGCTCCCGTCGACAGCCTCGGGACAGTCCTGTAACTTCGTGCAATCCTGTAACTTGAAAGTGCAATTCTTGCTCGCGTGGTTCTTCTGCGCGGACTGGATGAACGAAGGTGAAGCATCTAGACCTAAGACTTGACCGGATGAGGCGGCGGCGGCGATTTGGGCGGTCAAAGGGCCATCGCCACAGCCTATGTCGAGGACTCGGTCCGTGGGTTGGACGTCGAGGTAGGAGACCACGGTTGATGTTAGTTTGGGGACGAAGCCGGCTGCGTTTTGGTACTTTTCTGCCGACCAGTGATCTTTATTGCTAGTTGCCATGCTTTCAGTCGTTCGTGCTGTTGGATTTGACCCAGATACAGCACACGTATCTTTTTCCTTGATGTTTCTCTCAATGCATACTGTTGCAGCTGTGAGGGTCGAGCTCCGAAGTCGGCGCCAGCAGGATGAGGAGAGCTCCAAACCTATCTAGTATCATTACAACGATCCTCGAGCATACATCGGCAGCTAACAATGTCTTGTGCTACTATTACTGCGAACAGATCTAATGGTCTCATTAACACTACTGTAAAACTCTAGGTCTATGGCGCAACTTCTCCTCGCTGTCGTATGTATCTCTCACGCCAGCATACATCTTTCCAGGTATGAGGTCTGTAACGGACTCACTGGTGAAACAACAGTGGCCGATATCATGACTACCCTCGCTCAGCACCTCCCCCCATCGAACAGGTAAATATGCAGCGTCGTCGTCGTATTGGGGACGATGAGCTGCGGCCGCCAATGCGACACTGCAGGACCCTGCAACTGGTACGGAGCTTGCGAACTTCCTGTATCCCATGCCCATGGCGAAAAGCAACATGGCAATTCCAAGCATAATCACCAGCAGAATCGGTAGACACGAGTACCTGGAAGGACGACTTAGCATATCATTCGACCAACGCTCGCTGCGGGATGGCATCTCTCGCTTACCCAATCTCCGAGTACTCTGCCTGGTCGCTCCCCTGACCTCCGTATACGTTTAATCGTGCCAAGAAGATGCTTTGACTGATCAACCAATGTAGCGTGCCCGACGCTATCAACAGTGGTATACTGTACGTATACGGCAAGTTGAGGTAATAGGTGGAGCGCTGTTGGCCATGTGACGTCGTCACACGGAGTGGTTTCCGTCGACCATCCATGGCGTATTTGCTATACTCATGGCATAACAACATCGATGTCAACAAGCCGTTGTAGGTGAGATACAAGAAGCTGACGACAGCTTGAGGCAAGTTTGCAAGCAAAACGGCCGTGACAAGACCGCCGGCTCCGTCCTGAGGCAGTCCAACACTGAGCAGGGCTCGTGAGTCAACGGCGCCAAAGCCAAGGTCAAAGACCGAGGAGCCTGTGCCCAAGTACTGCCCGATGTTAGACGCTCCAGCTCCAAGTAAGCTGGCACCTGTGATCAAGGCGACTAAGCAAAGTCCCATGGTGATAACCCATCGTTTGATACTTGCACCAGCGAACCATCGGCGTCTGAGTGGTGCGTAGTAGGTGACCGCGGGAGGCTTGAGGTTGGGAGGTTCCGGAGGAGCTTGACCAAAGAATCGTCGTATCACGGCATTAGTGTCTAAAGACTCCTGCTTATGGGTACGCAGACGCCAGCGTAACGGTCCCTCCTCGACATCGACCTTGGCCATCAAGCAACGACCTTTGGTCAGCTCGTCTGGCCGTTCAAGGAAACTGCTTACTGCGTCTCCAATAGTGACCAACGTTGACTCCCTTTGCCTGTAAAGTGTCATGAACATGCAAAGACTCTTCGCGGCGTTCATAAGAATCACCGTGACGAGGATTTGTACACTGAACTGCAGCTTGCAATGAGGTGGAGTGATTGCGGCAAGACAGTATTCAATTTTGGCACCATTAACAGTCCAGTTCGTAGCATTCTTTCTCGCGGTGGGTATGTCGCATGATTCCTGGTATGAGCTTACCGAGAGGTCGTTGCAGATCCAGAAGTAGCTAGGATACCCGCCACTCTGTGGGTCGTACTCCGTTTGTTGCTCCCAGAACACTGTATCATTCGTAGTATTCCTTCGCTCGCTTGTGATAATCAAAACATGGTTGTACGCGGCGACAAATGACGTACCATACGCCGCGATACAATCGCTGTTGCTCAGGTTGGCCACGGCAGAGCTGTTGTGCAGGTTGTTTTGGAAGGAACTCTGCATGCTTTGCAGTTGGCTGTAAGCGTCGGAAGAGATTGTCGAATTGTAGTGATTGGGCCATTCGTTGTACCTGTTGTTGAATGCGCCGCCGTCGAGGAAGTCCGTGTTGACAACAGCCGCGGTGTACTCGTTCGTACCCAGACTTTTGAAGATTGCAGAGTTGTAGAGCAGATGTATCGGGATACTTGACAACGCCAAACCCCACCACAATAGCCGTCTCGTCCAGCGAATCCGCCAAATGTTCCTCACTGACGCCACGCCAATATCCAACCAATCGCCTTTGGCATGTGCTTCATCAATCTCCTTCCGCGTCGGAGAGCAAAGACATTGCATGGTGTAGTTCGAGGCACTCAGCAAGATCGAGCTCAAGGCGTTGATCAGAATATGCAGCCAGGTCGTCCAGCTATTCACGACCTCACAACTACCCTCGTATGCCGTGCCCACTCCGCCGTTTGACCCAAACTTCGAGATGGCGACTATGGTGAGGATGAGGTTAAGCAACAAGACGCTAAAAGCGGTCCAGGCTGCGCAAGTGACACCAAACCTCCATCCTTGTAACTTCTTCCTCCTCTCTCTGTTGCTCTGTGACGTTGGTGCAAGCGAGACAGGTCGGAGGGAGACATCATCGGCATTCAAGCCTTTCTTGTTGTCGCGGTTGATGAGGAACTCATTGTCGTTGCTTAAACCGTCCCAGAAATTGGTGGGTGTGCTATAGGTCGGGGCACTGCGTTCGATTGGTCAACGCGCTACTCATGTTCTGGGGATTTGTGCTATGCGTACCGCGACTTGGGTACTGCCGTGAGCTCGATACCATAGTCCCTGCTAGGCCCCTCCATTGGGTTGGGGCCCCAGCAAAGTTTGGGTTCGGTTTGGTTTGGGGTTTAATATTTAGGGAACCGTTTTCGAATTTAGGGCCCTAAGTATTTAAACCGAATATAATTTAGGGCCCTAAATTGGATTTAGGTTATTAAATTAGTATATAAAAGAGAGAAGCACGTAATTATATATTATAGCGGTATAGTACTATATATATATAGATATAATATATAATAGATATTTAAATATATAATATCGATTTTAGATAGTAAGGTAGTTTAGTATAGAGGCTATTAACTATTTATAGGGCGTAGACTATATACTAACTACTTACTAACTACTCCCTAACTATAGTCGTTAACTATACTAAGTACTATACTAAGTACGCCTATACTAGCTCTTACTTAGTACTTATACGCGTTTAAAGTCGCGCGACTATAGCCGACTATATACTAACTATATACTAATTATAAGTAAGTATAGCAAAATTCTCTATCTTTTTCTATCTAGCCTAGTCTAGCTAACGTAGCCTTCTAGTATAGAAATCTATAAGTCCCTTAAAAGTAGTATACTTATTTAATATTCTAATAAGTAGCTATATATCTTTTAATTCAATTATTATCTTCTTAATATAAATTATAAAGATATTAACGTCTATACTTCTATTAGCGCTATTATATAAAGAAAGAAGAATTCTATACTTTTAAAGTAAGATACTAGGAATACCTCTATAGCCTCTTATAATACTAAAAGAGTACTTACCTAGAATCTTATATTAATCTAATACTTATATACGATCTTACGTATAAGACGTTAGAATAGAAGCTTTAGTATTAGAAGATCTATTAACTTCTAATAGCGTCTAATTTCTTAGAGTACTATAGCTATATTAGTAGCTAACTATATACTAATTATATACTAAATAGATAGAAGACTTACTACTAGCCTTATACCTATAAGGTTTCTTTACTTCTATAGAAGCTTTTTCTTTATTTATAGTACTTATAGGTACTTTATAGGGTACTTTACGTAGTACTAGCTTAGTCGAAGGTCTCTTACTAGCCTACTTATATACTATAGATCTAGAAGGTTGTTTTTTTAGGCGTCTTAGCGATTTGCCGCTAATAGAGTCGAGGGGAGCGATTCCGCTATCTATATTATTAGTACCTATAGGATCCTAACCTAGTATTCTATAGCTCGACCTACTTACTAAAAATTTATTTACTTTATCGTCTATAGGATATTTAGCTATAGGCGGCGCGTTTATATTATCTAGATCTGGATTATAGTAGTAATAGTTAGTAATAACTATATACTAACTATAGCGTAAAGAGCTTACCTATAGCTACGCTACCTATAAGACCCGTCGTCCTAATAGGGTATAGATTATATAACTTTATAGCTACTTTCTTCGATTCTCGTAGCTAGCGCGCGTACTCTCTTCTTACTTTATTATATATACTATACTTCGCCTTCTTCTCTATCTTAGTCTAGCGGAGCTTCTTTAGTATCTTCTACTTAGGTTCTATATTTATTATTAGTAATAGTTACTAACTATATACTAACTTCTACTTTTTATAACGTATAAGGTCTATAAATAGAAACTTCTTTACTAGACGTATTATCCTTATTATTATCCTACGCCCTTTTTTTCTCTTTATCGGGCCTTTTCTATATAGACCCTATACGCGTTATTAGTAATAGTTGCCGACTATATACCGACTTCTACTTTCTATAACGTATAAGATATATAAATAGAAATATCTTCGCTAGACGTATTATCCTTACTAATATAAATAACTCTCCCTTTCTCTTTATCGAGCCTTTTCTATATAGACCTTATACGCGTTATTAGTAATAGTTATTAACTATATACTAACTTCTATTTTCTATAACGTATAAGGTATATAAATAGAAACTTCTTTACTAGACGTATTATCCTTATTATTATCCTATAGAATATCGTTATCTAGCGTTAGCGTAGAGAATATGTCTTTACTAAAGCCTTCGTCTATAGTATTAGTATCTATAGTACCTATACGCTAAGCTATTATATTATAAATATTACGTAGTTAGTAGAGAGGTTAAGAATTAGGCTTAGGTAGATTAAATAGTTTATACTAGTATAGTAAACGTTCCTAGTACTATTCTTTAGGCCTAAAAGATATTAGAGTTCTAATAGTAGTAATATAACTTATATATATAGTAATATAATAAGTAATTAACTACTATCTATAATAAAGTCGTTTTTAGCTATAACCTTATTAAAAAGATAAGAACGTAAGCTATAAGATATATATTTAGAAGATAGCCTAATAATAGATTTTAGGCGTTATAGTTCTATACTATAGTAAAAAAGTATTTATATTTAAGAAATATTTATTATTTATTACTTAGTAAAGTAAAGAAGTAGTAGTATTATATACTAAAAAGTAACGTTATAGCTAATATATATATATTATATATTATAAAGTATATAGTATAATTTAATTTAAGTAATTAGTATATAGTCGTTATTTAGCTTAAGTATAGCTATATTATATAATTTATAGCTACGTTATTACTATACTAAAATTATAGTTTTCGCTATAGTATAGTTAGAAAGAATATTATATAAGTATTCTTATAGTTAATATATAATTAGTATAGAGCTATCTACTTAATATAGCTCTTTTTATTAATCTTATTTTTTCGACTTTAAAGTCTATCTCCTTTAAGGTAGTAGATAATTCTTTATAGTAATACGAAATCTTTTAGTAATACTATAACCTACTTTATATATACTACTAGATATATATATAATTTAAAATCCTAGATAAGATAAGCCTCTACTACCTTTTAAAGAGCTAATAAAGCCTAGCCCTAAATCTAATAGTCTAACTTTATACTATACCTATATAAAATCTTCTTTACTAGTTAAGTAAATAGTAGTTAAGGGATAAGTAACTACGTTATCTTCTAAAGGCGCTATATCTCTTATAATACTACTATACCTAAATTCTAGCGCTATAATATCTTTTATTTTAGCGTTTATATCTAATTAGTAGTATTTTAGTAAGAATATATTAGCTTTAGTTTAAGGCGTACTTATAGATAATAGGATCGTATAGTATTAGAACTTTACCTCTTACTACCTATAGGATTATAGATATTATAATTAAGATTTCCTTTTACTTTCTTTAAGCCTTAAAACTACTATAACTTTTAAGGGTCGGTCTAAAAGTTAGAGGATAGCCTATTAGAAGGGATAGCTAGTAGTATATTATAGTACTAAAAAGTAGAAGAAGAAAAAGTAGAATTAAGTAGAGTAGAGTACCTTTAAATATATAGATTTAAAGTATTAAGCTATAGATAGGTATACTTAAGCTCTAAGCCTCGGCTTATACTTTAATAGTCTAGTAAAGAGAGTACGACTATACGCCGACTATACGTACTTCCTATTTATAGAAGTTTTACTATTACTAATTATATACTAATTAAGCTTATATTATAAAGCTTAGACTATATATACTCTTAAGGTTATTCGCTTATATACTTACTTATACCTTTACTTTACTACTTTACTATATTAAGTTAGAATACTACTACTTAATTCTAACTATAGCTACCTACTTAATATTAATTTATAATAGCGCGTAAGAAGCGTTAGGCGTTTTCTTCGCTTTCTAGTCTACTAAATAAGGTTATAAAGCTAGAGAAATAGTATTCTAAAAATAAGTTAACTTAGTAAGAGCTAAAACGCTACGCTAATCTTAGTCTAGAGGGATAAGAACGAGATAAGAAGTATTAGCGTATTAATATTATAGTTAGCTATAAAACTACGAAGTTAAATAAATAGCTATAGTTCTAGATACTTATAGCCGATCGTAAGGCGTAGGAGCTAAATCGGGTAAAGTAAGAGATATACGCGGAGTAGTAAGTAGTCTATATATTCGTCTAGTAGTTAGTAGCTAATACTATACTCTAGTAATTTAGCTACGTACTAAGCTAAGGAAGTAGCAGTAGGCTACGTAGAAGAGTAGATTAAGGCTAGATTAGAGTATAAGGTTAAGAATATCGCTATAAGATATAGACCGTTCTAAAAGTAGAAGGAGAATACTATTTAGAAGGATATTAAGCCTACTAATCCTAACTATATTCTGCGCTATACGCTAGATACTAGAGATTCTACTAAACCGATAATACCGCCTTTACTAGTACTAAGTCTCGAGTAAAAGATTATAAATATAATAGTCGATAACCTATATAAAGTCTATTATAAGTATTAGAACTCTAGTATTTATAGTCTATTTAATAAGACCGAAATAATTACTAAACTAGTAGAGATATATTAAGAAAATCCTACTACGAACGATATCGATATACGTCTTACTATATAGTAATATAGTATTAAACGACTACGTATAGTTATAGAGTTAGGGGACTTTAAGGTATACTAATTATATACCGACTATAGCTATAAGTATTCTATACTAACTATATATAGACGTTTTATAAGAATAGTCTAGCTACTTTACTTATTAAAGGCGAGTACGCGATAGTCGCGAACCTTAAGTTATAGAATCTAGTCTTCTTACGACCGCTAGAGTAATTAGCTCTTATATTCCTAGCCTTTATAGACGTACTTTTATTAATTAAGCTAGTAGAAGGCTAGAGTCGAGAAAAAGCTAGGGGTTTATAGAGGTTTTTTCTTACGTACGCTATAGGACCTTTATAGTAGGTTTACCTATAACTATATTTAGCTATATATAGGATTTAACGTAAAGAAGAAGTTTCTTAAACTTCTTTTATACGACGTATATATCTTAAGATATAGGGAGTAGTATAAAGAGAGTATATTAGGGGATAAGTAGAGTTTCTAGTTAATAATATACTAACTATATACTAACTATAGCTTAAGTATAAAGAAAGTATATAAGGGGTCGAGTAGATACGCTAGTTAATATCGTACCGACTATATACTAACTATAGCTTCGCTTCTATATACCCTCTATCTTATTAATTATCTTTATATCCGTAA